CCATGGCTGTTCAGTCAGACCACCAGCCAGTATTTCTGTTAGTCTTGCTGCTGTAGAGTCAGAGAGAGGGATTTGCTTAATTTTAGTGGTCATTTCCTCTTTTTGTTTGCATTCAAACATGCTTTCATCACTTCAGTCTTCATTCATTCTTTTATTGTTTCTGCATCAGAGAAAAGCTCCTTGTGTTTCACAAAATCCATGAAAGTCTGAGGGAGCATCCAGTTGCTTTGTGTTTGAGTCAGATGAGCAGTGGGTCTGGGTGAGCGACAGACTGTTTATAATGCAGGAAAGACTGAACGTTGTGGAGCTGACGCAGGGGGGCAGTGGTCTTCCTGTTACTATTTAAATTGAGCACGCACAATACCGCACTGCCTCAGTAACGTGAAAGGATCGCAGCCTGAGGGCCAGAAAGAGGTGGGTCAGGGGCGGCCTGTTGAGGGACGATGTCTTAACGTTTATAATTGGTTAATAATGTGAATGTTGATCTACTGCGGGAAGAATGAATGATTCCACATTTCCTTACTTTATTTTCCAAGTTAAACGTGAATACCGTTAGCTGTGCTGTTATGTACCAATGGAATGTGAAATGATACTCATTGAAAACTCAGAGTATTTTCTGACCCTGTTGTTGACACTAAACTGGGAACAGTTTTTGCTTCATCTTCTTTCTCTTAGTGGATTGGAAGGATCTGATGTTGATGGCAAGCTTATGGTGCAGTGCGGTAGGATGGTTCCCACCACACCAGATCACAATGGCTGTCCTTTACACACACACACACACACACACACGCACACATGCACGCACACACACACACACACACACACACACACACACACACACACACACACACACACACACACACACACACACACACACACACACTTCCCTGGACTTGGGATGTCGGAGAATTCTTTTGACCTTTGAACATCTTTGACTGAAAGCATTGAAGTTAATTCAAGGTCGAACTGATTTAGTCATTGATTTGGATCTGAAATAACAAGTGTGGTTGTGAAGAAAACAGAACAGTATTACTGAGAACACTGGTACCCACAGGAAATAAGAAACAAACATTTATTTAAATTATTTTATTTGTTGTGACTGTTATATATATATATATAAATATAAAATACTTCAGCTGAGTCTCATTCATTCGTATTTGCTGTGTAGCCAAACCTTCTGGTCCAAATTTCTATTTATATAATTTTTTTTCATTGAGATCCGTAGAAATAAATTTGAAAATAGACGCTAAAAATAAAAATGTGAGAGTTGCAGGTGTTACACATCAGTGGGGCCAAAGCCTTCATGGCACCACAAGTCAGTGGATTCAGATTCCTCTAGTCTATTCCGGTTTCCTAACTTTTAATCATCTGACGAGCATCATTTCAATATCTCCAGAACAAAAGCAGACTAGCCAGCCAGCGCTCCATCTGAATGGACGTACTAACGGGTAGATCCCCGAAGCTACAGCGAGATGTCAGAGGAAACATTAAAAATGTGGAGAAACTCATTCATCAGCAGAGTCCACAGAGATAATGTAATATCAGTAGAACCAGGATTGTTTTCGGGCTTCCCCTGGGTGTGTAAGCTGAGGGCTGACAAGGGAACCTGTCATCCTGTGAGGTGAGCCGGGATTCTTTTAGCTCACCTGTAATTCCTACCCTTCATATAGCACAAGTTGGTCGCGTAAGTTGCTGGATCCTAGCAGACAGTTGCCAGAATGGTCCTTTCAAAATGAAGACAGTTCCCGGATCTTGTTCCAGCAAGATCTAGCTCAAATGAAGCCCCACCCTAATCTTTACCCAGTATATCAGTCTAAATTTTCCATTAAGCGTGTGTGAGAGGAACGATGAAACGCGAAACAGAGCTTTGCATGCGCAAGCTGGTTAAGGTTAGGATGGGGGTGAGGGGAAGGTTAAATTGCAAGAGGGTAAAGGTCACAATTCGGTCAAATGTCCGTTTTACCACGGGCGTTTGATACCGACGCTCTGACACAGCGCGTCGCCTCCTGACGCGCAGGGGCTCGTCACCTGCTGTCTTTTCCGAGGACTGCATCTTGTCGGTTATTATTACGTGACGACTAGTCTATGAAAGGCATAAAAAGTCACTACAGAGCAGTGAAGTCGACTAGTCGACTAGTTGATACAACCGGGACTTTAACACGTTAATTGTGATTAATTAATTAGAAAAAAATTACGTGTTTAAAAAAATTAACACATTTAATCACAGCTTGCATTTCGAGAAAGGCGGAACCTTTGTTATTGCACGATTTCCTCGTAGACCAAATATCACTGACGCACACAACAATGCACAGTGCTAATGGCTACTAAAACGGAATAAAAACAGAAAGTTGCCTTGCTTGGACTGATGCAGGATTTAGGAAACCAGTCCGCCTCTTTTTTTAACTTGGAAAACAAAAAACTTCCAGACAACAACGGAGTCCGTGTCACGGACATTTTTCACAGATCGTCCCTGCTGCAGCTGTCCGGTGGCACCGGAAACTTTACAAAAGTTGCGATAAGCTATATTTTTAACATTTACGTAACATCTGTGCAGTGCTGAAAGCTCCAGACAGAATAATTCTTTGCCCTAACAGTAGTTTATGAAAGTAGTCAGACAAACGAGAGGCACCTGGTTGCCGCTGGGAGAACGCTCCGTCTTCTGTAAACAATCACAAGTAACGTGTCTTAAAGTTGAAAACAGAAGTTTAAGTTAAAACAGAAGCACTCCAAAAATGCGATTAATTTAGATTAATTAATTTCAAAGCCTCTAATTAATTAGATTAAAAATTTTAATCGAGTCACGGCCCTAATATATATATATATATATATATATATATATATATATATATGTGTGTGTGTGTGTGTGTGTGTGTGTATGACCAAAACTTTATAATAAAATATCTAAATAGCACCTCTAGTGAATAATATAAGGCTTTTTGCACACTTCGACCCTTAAAATGTGAAATACACTGTATTAAGGGATAAAAAAGTGAGTTTTTCATGATATGTCTCCTTTAATAATGATTTCAATGAATGGATACATTACTGCTTTTTAATACTTTAAGACTCTGCAGCATAACTTTTTTTTATTTGATTAAAAAATAGAAACAGGTAAAAAAATAGAACATAAAAAGGAGTGTCAGAAGGAAACAAGAGGAAGACACACAGGAGCAGCAAAACAAGAGAGAGTACAATAAAGAAATCTGCTGTAACTGACCAATGCACAGGAGAAAACATGTAATGGCTTGACCCAGCACAATGAAATAGGATGAAGGAGTGTATACACTGGACTGTTCATGGGACATGGTCATCATTGGGGAGCGCCACGTCTGAGCCTATGTAGGCGAACACTGGTGCTTGTTGTGATGTTATTAATAAATGAATCTGATCTGAACCTGCTGGGTTATTTTATAGGAACCTGTTTACTGACCTGACCTGTATTGGAATGTTTACTATGTGAAGTGCCTTGAGACGACTCTTGTGGTGATTTGGCGCTGGATTGAATTGAATGGCTGTTGAAAGTTTACTGGATGTAGAACTGTCCAGGTGTCTCTGCTGTAAACCATCCAGCGTGGTTTGCTTTCGACATGGGGAGAAGGCTCTTCATCAACTATGCTGCACCAGCAGGTGGTATTTGAGAGTACTACGCTGATAGCTCAGTTTACATCGTCAGTAAACACAAATAACTTTTTCTTATCAGTTGTACCATCTGGTAGAGTTTAAGAAGTAACCTTTTCACTCAAAAGACCCTTTTTTGCTTTCCACGCTCAACCTAGCATCCGCCATGTTTACATTAACGTGCCTGCTTCATTATGTCACAAACTATTGATCACCAGAGGGGCCAAAGCTAAACTACAGAAGCCTACGCGTTAATCACACATATAATATTATACAGCCCAACTGTGGTCATCCTACAATCAAAGCAGCATGAATAAGCTGCATGTTGCATACAATGATGCCTTAAGAATCTTACTCAAAATACCCAGAGGGGGCAGTGCCAATCAGATGTTTGTAACAGCAGGCGTGTGTACTTTAGAAGCTCTTTTAAGAAAACTAATGTTCACTTTTAGAGAACGACTGGATAGCTCTGCCAACAGTATAATTTTAGCAATCACTGATCCTGCTGTGAGCAGTTGTTGCTATTTGTCCAGTATAAGGAAATACTGGTTGAAGTGTTTGTGTGGTTACTCTTAATCGTGTGGAACATCTTTATAGTACGTTTTTAAATAGATTTAGATTTAGAATTTATTTTCATGCTTTTAGCATTTTTATTTGTTCTATTTGTTTTTACCTATTTTGTTTCATTTATTGTTTTTAATGTTTTGTTGTTTTATATTTTTCTTTATCTGGACCAAAGAGTCTGTCAATAAAGATTATCTATCTATCTATCTATCTATCTATCTATCTATCTATCTATCTATCTATCTATCTATCTATCTATCTATCTATCTATCTATCTATCTATCTATCTATCTATCTATCTATCTATCTATCTCTATAATAAATTAACATTTTTAAAAAGGTTTTGCGTTAATGCATTGAAACACATGAATTTTGACAGCCCTAAAATGAATGAATGAATGAATGAATGAATGAATGAATGAATGAATGAATGAGGATCAGGTTGAAATGTTTAGCAGACCAACTTTAAACCTGACAACTCTTGGCAAATACAACACTTTCACTCATTCAGTTTTACTGATTTAAGCTGCAGTTTGATGTGATGTGGTTGTTAACAGAACGTTTTCCTGGAGAGGTGAAAACGGGTCGATGATGCTACTTCAGGAAATAAAAGTACGTTTCACTGGAGTTGTATCCAAGGCTTGCCAAATCCTCTAGGGATTTGTAAAACGGGAGTCTTTACTCTGTATGTTGCCTGGAGCAGCATAGTTAGCAGTCTGAAAATACCCCAAAGAGTTAGAGGATTTAGCTTTCATAATTGCATAAAGAAAACCTCATTTCCAACAGGACGCGTAACCTTGTTCCTGTTGGTGTTGCAGGAGCAGCTCGGAGAGGCGTAAAGAGAAGTCCCGGGATGCAGCGCGATGCAGACGCAGCAAAGAGACGGAGGTCTTCTACGAGCTGGCCCACCAACTGCCTTTACCTCACAGCGTCAGCTCCCACCTGGACAAGGCCTCCATCATGAGGCTTGCCATCAGCGTCCTGCGCACTCGCAAGCTGCTTGCCTCAGGTATGCGCACACGCACGCGCGCGCACACACGCACACACACACACACACACACACACACACACACACACACACACACACACACACACACACAATGCAAACAGATGCAGGTCCCAGTGGTTTGTGTGAATTGATTGGACTCACTGCTGAGTGAAGCTGAAAGTTTGAGTCTTCTGCTAAAATTAGAAGGTGAGGAAGCCGAGCAGCAGCAGACCCATTGTTCCTCCTCCTCCACACCGGTGTCTCAAAGTGCGATCAGAGAGCAGCAACATTAAACAACATCAGCGCACTGAACCACAGCTTTAATAAACAGGTTATTTTTGATGAATAGAACCAAAAACATCTTCAAGCAGGAAGTGGGCCGAGTGACTTTACACCCAAGTCTCTGGCTGTTTTCATCTCATACACTCAGAACAGAAATCTTACCTGGGAAATAAGTCTGTATGGAACAATTTTACATAAATCTTTATTTTTTAAATGTATTGAGAAGTCTAGTTCGAGCAACAGCCCGGAGGTTTTCAGATGTGGATCTAAGGTTCCGAGAGGTGGTGTGTGGGGATAAAAGCTCAGATAGGTAGCTTGGAGCCTGGTTGTTAAGAGCTCTATAGGTCAGGACTAAAACTTTAAACTGTATTCTATATTCTACCGGGAGCCAGTGGAGGGACTGTAAAACTGGAGTGATGTGAGCTCGTCTGCTGGATTTGGTTAGGAGTCTGGCTGCTGCATTTTGGATGGCTTGATGGCGTGAGAGGGAGGTTTTGCTGAGACCAGTAAAACGAGCGTTACAGTAGTCTAAGCATGTTGACACAAAGGCATGGATGATTTTTTCCAGATCTGCTGTAGAAACCAGTTTACGGACTTTTGAAATGTTTCTCAGTTGAAAGAAACAAGAGCGGGAGATGGTTTTGACGTGTGAATCTAAACTTAAAGCTGGATCAAAAATAACTCCCAGGTTCCTAATGTTGGCCTTGGCTGATGGGCAAAAAGAGGCAATTTCTTGCTCGATTTTTGGCTGAAGTTCCGGGGGTGCAGCGATCAGGGTCTCTGTCTTGTTAGCATTGAGGACAAGAAAGTTGCTGGACAGCCAGTTACTGATCTGGGTCAGGCAGAGTACAAGTGTGGCCAGCCTGTCCAACTGGTGTGGCATAAAGGGCATATAGAGCTGAATATCATCAGCATAGATGTGGTAGGAGATGTCTGGGAAAGACTGAATGATGCCAGCTAGGGGAAGAATATAGAATGCGAATAGTAGAGGCCCTAGAACTGAACCTTGTGGGACCCCGCATGTTAGAGAGGCAGTATCTAAAGAGAAGGTTTGTGACTTCACTGTGAATGTTCTGTTGGTGAGATAGGAAGAGAGCCAGTCTAGAGCAGAACCTGAAATCCCAGCCAGGGCCTTTAACCTGTTTAGTAGAACGTTGTGGTCTACAGTGTCAAAAGCTGCACTGAGGTCAAGCAGGACCATGACAGAGCATTTCCCAGCATCAGCAGCCATTAGGAGGCTATTTAAGGCCGTATTGTCTAGCCCACTTACCTCCTACAAGAACCACACATCTGTTAATGCAGGTTCTGGTCAGCAGAGGGCTGCTCAAGTTTCTGGCTCAAGACCCACTGAAACCAGTTTGAAAGCAATACAGTATATATATATATATATATATATATATATATATATATATATATATATATATATATATATATATATATATATATATATATATATATATATATAATATAACATTTTAGTGATGTTTTAAAGTTTAAAATAATGAACATAGGAAGTTATTTTATTTTTTAAAGTAAGTTTCAAACTTTAAATATTAAAATTCACATCATAAAAAAACCTTTCATCAGATTTTTGTAATTTAAAAAAAATATGTGATATGTTTTTTGTAAACTACACCAACATTAGAGCAAAGATTTTTGTTGATTTCTTTTGTAACAGGTTGTGATGTTAGATCATGAAGGAGGAGACTATAAAAAGAACACACTCTTATGCTTTCAGTTTTACTTTCCAAGATTTGGAGATACCTGCTGGCGCCGTAGCAGAGCGGAGGACCGCCACCTCTAAAGTCTTCTAACACCTGAAGCTCAGATTAAATTATGAGACATGTAACAGGGGAGGAGAGAGAGAGGAGGAAGAGGAGGAGTAGAATGTAATGAGGGTAGGAAAGTGTGGTGGTGGTGGTGGTGGGGGGGGGGTGGGGGGGGGGGTCTGCGAGATGCAGCTGTAGATACGGCATCATTGAACCACTGATTGCTCCGTGATGGAAGGAGAGATACCGCAGAGGAAGCGCAGAGCTCTGCTCATCGTTCGGCTGCTGCTGGTTTAATCCCCAGTAGCCATAACACCCCACCGCTGTGGCGCCAAACCAACTGGCGTCCATGCTCACGCACGCACAGAAACATGGTGCATGCACACACACACCTCCGTTATGTAACAGCAGGAGATGATCGTTGAGACTAAAACATGGACAAAATGTTCAGAGTTAGAGGTTTATTTTGGAATTTAAAGGTGTGTGTGTTTGCGTAGGTGTGTCCCACACAAGCGAGCTGTTTGTTCTACCTGGTTTGGGTCTGGTGGCTCTACCTGGATCAGATTAATAAACTCAGATTTTCTTGTTCTTTAATTAGAGAATTGGAACATAAGACGCATGATGTTAAAGTCTGACGCCCACATCAGAGAGCAGATGATGTTATCTGGGTTTCCTGACAGACTTACACACCCTAAACTCTGTACATAAATGTTTTCTGTAAAACTGTTTAAGTTTTCATGACGACGCCGTGTCACTCTCTTTTTTTTGCTTGTTTGGTTAGGGTAAAAGTCAGTCAAGAGCATGTCTCAGCACTGCTTCTCCGTATTTCCAAACAAGGCTTGTTACGCAACAACAAAGAACAAAAAGTGCAGCTCAGTCCAAATGGTGGCTAATCACAGCTAAATAGGCCAAAGGTGCCACCGGTGCTTGGACCAGACCCCATGAGAAAGCCCAGGGCTCCTGCGGGAGCAAGTATTGACCAGGCCCGGATCCAAACCTAATCCCTAGGCCCCTCCAGGAACCCTGAGAATGACTCCCGTCTTATCTGAGGAAGCACAGTGGAGGAACAGTGAGCTTCCCGCCCTCCGCCCCAATCCACTACTGGGCTTTGTTCAGCATGAAGCCACTGTTCACACACACACACACACACACACACACACACACACGCACAAAACATTATTAGAAAATTTTTTGGTAGTTTTAAATCTCAACGGACACGGAGACAGAGATGAAAGAGAAAGGGGGTAAGGAAAGGAAGAGGAGGGGGAAGAGAAAAAAATGGATCACAACAATGAAAAATGCTGAAGAATCCACTTCTAGACCTGCATAAAAAAGGAAGAAAAAAAAGGGGGGATGCACAAAAATACTACATATCCAAAATATCGCTGCGCCAACCACATGAGGATATAAAACAGTAACTTTTTATGCTGAAAAAGCACACGGTAATAATTCATAATGCATTTTGTGCCAACCACAGCCTTAGACTATGTGTCAAAAATGCTCAAGTAAAAACTTTTGAGCACACCATGTGAGTACCTATGTGTGTACACGGGCTTGTGTATGTAAGGTGTCTCTATAGGAGTGTGTGTGTGTGTGTATATATACACACGCACGCACACACACACACACACACACACACACACACACACACACACACACACACACACACACACACACACACACACACACACACACACACAAAGAAGACTGCAGGTTAAAAAGGTTTCCCCTTTTTAAATTATTTATTATATACCCTTAGTGATAAACTCTTAAGTTTCCCTTTCATCACCTTAAAATACTTCACTGGGTACCCGTCTGCCCCTGGCACTTTACCCGACTGAAGTGAACTTATTGCTTTATCTACCTCTGCCAGTGTTATAGGTGACTCCAACAAACTAGCTTGATCCTCAGACAGCCGAGGAAACATCAAGTCATTTAGGAAAAACCCTGATTTAAGTCTTGTTATATCCATTTCAGACTCATACAGGCTAGAATAAAACTCCCTAAAACACTCATTAATCTGCCGATTTCCCATATGCCTTACGTTGTTACCATCTATAATAGCTGTGACATAGGAGCTAGATGGAACATTCCTTATCAACCGTGTCAAAAGATGATTAGGTTTATTACCTGCTTCAAAAAATCTTTGCTTAGCAAAAAGAATATCTCTTTCAGCTTTCTGCATAATCAAATTGTACAACGATGTCCTCTTAGCCTTGAGCTTACTCAATGTATCAGATGACCTGGTTGCATAGTCATTTTTCTCCAGATCCTTAATATCCTCTTCGATTTCTTGCTGTTTTATTAATCGTTGCTTTCTTGTGTAGTTTTTATGAGCAATTATAATCCCTCTCATGTATGCCTTATAACTGTCCCATAAATTTCTCAGATCCATTCCGTCTTCATCATTCATTTCTAAAAACATTGTAGTTTGCTCCATTATAATAAATTTCTTATCTATCAAGGATAACGCGCTCATCTTCCATGATATTGATCGCTCAATCTCTCTCAGCAGTCGAATGACTAAAGCTACCGGGGCATGATCAGAAAGACCAATAAGACCAATATACACCTTCTCAACTAAGTGATTGATCCATTTTGACAAAAAAAATATAGTCTATACGAGAGGCTGTTGTGTGAGGATTAGAATGAAGTGTGTACTGTTGAGAACTAGGATTGTGATGTCGCCACACATCAACAAGTCCAAATTCATTTATAGTTTTCAGAAGAGCCTTTGAGTTTGTTGTCACAGTGGAATTAATCAGCGTGTTTTTAGCGTTATCCGTTCTTTCGTAATCCGTTGTTGAATTGTGAGTGACAGAAGCTTTTCCGGTTGGTGCCTTGCTTTTTTCACAGCAGCGTTCCAAAACCAACTCCTATTTCATGGATTTTCTGCTTCCTGATCACATGACTTGTGACCTACGCAGATGATCAGCTTTAGAGCCGTGGTGTTTGTTCTCACAGTGCAAGGGCTCGTTGAGACGCCCGCCCAGTAAAAAAAATGCCATTAACGACTTAAGTCATCAACGGTCCTCAGCGTAAATGTTCTGAGAATATTTGAACATAAAGATATAATCTGAGATTTCTGCTGTAAAATCAAACAGGAAATGCTGAATTGTTTGCTAACCTGAAGTTTTGTTTCCTTCCAGCCTGCTGCAGCCACAGCAGCAACGACACAGATGACCCAATCATGGACAACCTCTACCTGAAATCTCTGGAGGGCTTCATAACCGTGGTAACAACAGATGGAGACATGATCTTCCTGTCGGAGAACATCCACAAGTTCATGGGCCTCACTCAGGTAAGCTCCTGGAGAGGATCAACCTCCAAATGAGAACGGCCCGGTGCAGTAGCTGAGAGGAACTTTTGTTAACTAACACTGATTGGTTGTAACTCAGTAGGTAATGACATCAGCACAGTCTCACACAGCGCCATAAAAACTGAGCTTGTTGATTGAACGCCATATTTTCTACACACAGCTGCTCTCTTGTCCTCTGAATGGATTTAATTTGGTGGACGTCGACAGAATAACACTTTTTATGTTACTGTGGATGCTTTTTGGTGCTGATCAGTGACATTACTCACTGCCGAAGCAGTCATGCTGACGCCTGAAGGGCTGAATCAGGACACTGCAGCTGAGAGGACCGGGTGCTGTACCGATCTGCTCGGGCTGCCAGATCAGCTCAGGGTCCTGCGTCTGCTGATGACATCACACTACGGCAAATCCACCCCACTTCTTGTTTCTTACCCTCATAATGTTTTCTTTGTAATTGAAATTTGTTAATAAAACACAGTATTGTCTTAGTTTTGTGAAGAATGTGAAACTTCATGAAGCCAACATCAGTCAAAAAGCGCAACAGTTCTTATTTATGAACATTTTTATATATTTACATAATTAGCAACCATTTCCGTTTGTATAAACGTGGAATTCTTCTGTGTGTTTACTTAGTTCTTATGTCAATTAATCCATTCATTCATTCAAAATGTCGCTTGCTATTTGTTCAATAAAATATTTTTATTTTGCCCCATTTCATGAAAACCAAGAGCTGCTGAGGGTCTCCGTTAATCAGCTGATCGTTTCCTTTGGTAATACGAACACATTTTCCCCTACAGGACTACAACCGCTAATGTGTTCAGCCCAATCAAAATCTAACGTGTCTTTTACGAGCGTGGTATCGTAACTTCTGTAAATCCGACGTTCAGCTGTTCATCCAGTGTGGCGTCATCGGCAGACGCAGGACCCCGAGCCGATCTGGCAGCCCGAGCAGATCCGGTACAGACACCGGGCCACCGAACCTCCCGGTCAAGTTCCCCGACCCAGAAAGTACCCTGAAGTTCCGACAGTGGGCACACACCTTATATTAGAACAAATAGAAAATGTTTTCTGGTTAAATAAATAACAATATAACAACAGAAAATGTCAGAGATCAGTCAGTCTGGCCTGGGATCAACTTCTCTCTGTGATGCTGCACAAAAACACTCTCAGTTCCTATTTAAAGTCATTCCTCATTAAGATTTCATCAAGTTTTCCTCTTTAGCGCTGTTTAACTAAATAATTCCCTTATTTAATTTTCCCCAAACGTGGATAGGAAGGAGGATGAGTCTGTCTGAGTAGGATGTGGCTATAACCCTTGCCTCTGCAGCATTTTTCTTCTCCCACTGGAGGAAAGTTTACAGCAATTATCCAGCTCTGTTTAAATCTCAATTTTCTTCAGCACATCTGGTTTCTGTTTGTTTTTGTCAGGACAATCTGGGTTTCTGCTGGAGGTGTCACACTTTTACGTTTTGTACTCTGGAGCTAACTCCTCACCATCACCCAGTTTTCTTTTCTTTCCGTCTAAACGAGGCCACGTTTCATCACACGCAGCGTCATTACTCCTGAAGCATCAGAGTGGTACTCGGCCCTGCGTTTTCACGCCTTCAGACCGAACTTCTATGGCGTTTGCTGAAGACATGGGATTAAATAGAGACAGGGTTGTGTTGTAGCTCTTAACTAATCTGACTTCTCAGGCAAACTGTTTGATAAATTGGCAGCTGATCCATGTTCAACAAAAGTCCGTCTTACCCCAGTCTGTCTGTGTCCATGTCCACAATTAGGAAGTATTATCTCACATTCATATCTTAACATCTCAATATTATGTTTATCTGTCATAAAAATGATTAAGTCTTATGTATTAAACAGTTTTGTTTTCATTAAATTGGAAGTAATGGCTCCCACATACTGTTATCATTCATTTTTGACAATGCTTTGCAAATAGTCAAGCTAATGGATAACAGAAACCAAAAGTGAGACAAAGAATAGAGCAGTATTAAGGAGTATCACAACAAATGTGGGTCATGGTTCTTACATATATATATATTTTTTCCTGTCATGGCGTGGGCAGGATGTGGCCAACCTTCAATTAAATGCTATTTAAGTCTATTTTTCCAGTTTGTTTTATTTAAATTATCCTTTTATTCCAGGTGGAGCTCACAGGTCACAGCATCTTTGACTTTACCCATCCATGTGACCATGAGGAGATCAGAGAAAACCTGAGCCTGAAGACAGCAGGTCAGCACTACCACCTCCGTCAAATCACATAAACTAATCACTTCTGTCTGACTTGAATAACAAAATGTTACATCTGGGGTGGAAAACCCAAACGTTAACATGAAATCTGTTCGGTTCACAAGGCTCTCTGTATTCACTTTGGGCACGGCAGACTGGAAAAACCATGAAACTGTTGGTTTGGTTTAAAATATTCCCTCTGGAAGCAGCAAAGTGAGGCCGAAAACACTCATGATGACAACAAAAGAATGATTTTAAGTGTTAGTCATGAATTTATCATAGTAATGCTAAATAAAAGCCAGACTAAAACAGTAGCTAGCAAACCATAGCAAGAGATATTAGCCTAGCCATGTGATTTATTGAACATAAAATATTTTAAGGAGAAAGTACAAGAGAGAATGAGGGAGATGAATAAACATTTAAGCTATCTGGTTAAATATTTAAGGTACAATTGTAGAAAATAGCACTGCTCCAAAGCTTTGGATGTACCAAATATTCTGGTATTTTACTCTAGTTTATCAGAATATTTCACTTCATAGATTTAGCATTTCAACACATTTAGCTTTACAAAATGTAAATCCATTCCAGCAATATAATTGACAAAAAAAGATGTTACAAAGATTTGATTAATCAAAATAATTTTGTCAAAAACACACAAGTCATTAATTTATGCCATTATCTATACCGTACCATAATGAGCCTCGGTGCGAGCAGATGCAATAAATTAAAAGTTTGATATCAGATAATGGCTCATATTTTCTGACGTTAGTGGTTGATTTGTGAAAACAGTGTGACTGCAAGAGTTTGGACTCTCAAACTGATGTCATCACATAAAATAGCGGTGTATGAACTAAAGTAGAAGGTAATCTCTGTTACTTGTGTTGCATTTCAAGTAGAGGAAAGCAGGTGGCATTGCAAAAAACAACAATCTATACACAACCATAATATCGACATACTGACAGAGGCGAGGCCCACCGTACACCATATTTGTCTTATAAACGGCGATTGCGCCTTGGTGCAAAGGAGGGAGCTGTCATGATGACGTGGGGAGATGATACTGAGCTCCAGCCAGCAAATATATCAAAAATGAAAGTAAAAACGAGCCGTAAGTTTGGTTTTTTGAACAAAATCAGGTGACAAGGCAAACTGGAGGGCTGCAGTGCTCCTCGAGCTTTGCTCCGTTAGAGCTGAAGCTCAGATCACCAGAGCCTGCACGGGGACTGTGGGGGACAGACACTTTTAGGAGTAGCTTGTTAAAAAGACTTCATGAGCGTGGTTTCAATCCAGTGTGTCCAAGATAATCGGAAGTCAGCGGCAGCGCACGGACCGTCCCCATACTCCCTTTATGCCACCATCGCCTAATCTTTTATAAAAAAGACATGATTTCACCACATTACCAACACGGTCTGAACACTTATAAACTCCCCATTACAACATGACTATAATGGAACACCAAACTTTTGCTGGTGCACGCATGTTTTCTGGATGCCAAGTCGTCAGTGGGGTCATCGTAAGCTACTTGTGAGCTGAGCTGATGGTATCCAGGCCATTCAAGTGTTCTTGTGCCACTGATGAGCCTCAGTAGGAGAAGCTTCACTCAGCAGAAGCAGCTGTAGAGCTGACTTTAGGGATGCAGCTATAGAATATTTAGGAATTCGAATATTCTATCGAATTCTCTGTCGATTTATCAAATATTCGGTTTGACAAAGTTTCAAGTGAAACGAGATTGTGGTCTGCTGCTAAAAATATGAAAATAAAACAACAAAAGTATAAAAGAAGCAACAATATGAATATGAGGGAAGTCTGGGCCTCTTGACTTAGGCTGCTGCCCCTGCTCCAGATAAGAGGAAGAAAATGGATGGATGGATCAACAATATGTATGAAATCGGTGTTGTCTAGTTCCCTCTCTTCCATCTGATATTTATAGTTAATAAATATTTCATGGAACAAATGTTGACTTATATTTAAGTAACATTTTATGTTTGTATTCATATAGCTCAGCCTAGTCAAAATAATATATATAAATATATCCACATATGACCTGTAAAATTTATTATTAGTATTATTTATTAATAATAATCAACCTTTATTCCAGACACAAGTCCATAACAACATAAAACCATGTAGCCGGACCACAATAACTATATAAAATAATGTAATTATTTTATTAACATGTTATTAACATGGAAATCTGACTATTTAAATAACATTTAATTTCTACTGGTAACAAAGTAATGGTGGCATATCTAATTAGTTATGGCAACATAACCCAGTCTAAATTCTATTCCGTATAGAAGCGTTTGTGAAATAACTACTACAACGGCTTGCCTTTGCTGGTCTATTTTCCTCCACAGCACCTAGTTTACCACGTTATGAACCAGTAAAATTTATTCAGAGACTGTGGTGTGTACATTTGACAAAGCTTTGAATCAGTAAAAAAATGAACTGCGGAATTTAATGAGTCGAAACATTCGATTTATTTAATGATTCGTTTCAACCCTGACTTCAGCATTGACTCTGTTTTGACCAGAAATCCATCATTCAAGCAATGACATTAATGTAAATACGACTGTAGCTTGTGATACGATTATAATGTAATAGGAAAACACCTCACACTCTCTCTTACTAACTAGACCAACAGACTGATAGACCTAGGCCAAAATGTATAGGTTTTAATAATAGGAGCAATGTTACCTTCTCAGTGGCCTAGGTAGAGTGCCCACCCTGGGACCAGGAGATCAGGGTCGGGTCATACCAAGGTGGGACCCAGTGCCTCCCTGCCTGATACTTTAAAGGGTTGTATTGGGGGTTAAACCACCAAATAGTTCCCGTGTGCAGCCACTACTGCAGCTCAGCACTCCCCACGAGGATGGGTCAAATGTGGACATGTACTTTCACCAATGTGTGATCATAATTATGGGACTTTACCTTAAATGTTGATAACTTGGACTGAACCTAAGGCAATATAGGACAAAAATGAAAGTTTATGTATTTAATAAGGCATCTCCAGTCCACATCCAGACAGAATTAACCCTCTCTTCTGTCGCATGATTAGCAGCTAGGATGAACAACATTTCCACTTTCAAGTGAAGCACACTCCTCTTGGTTTGACTTTTTCTTTCTGGTGCTTACTCCAGATTTATATTTCTGTTTGGATGTCATCTCTTCTCCATGGATCCACCTGCCTGTCGGCCCATTTGACCCCTGGTTGGTCAGATGCTGCTTCTGTCAATCATTGCAGGAACGTGCACGGTTTCAAATAACTCATTTCTTCTTTTCTCAACTCTTGCCTGCTGACGGTAGCACTGTGGGCGCGCGTCATGGCTGTGATCCATGTCCTTGGTGCGTTTGGAGAGAACACATCCTCTTGCACAAAATGAAGCTCCTCTTGGGAGTGTGTTCTGCATATTAAGAGGGGTGGCGCTGCGGGGACTGTGGATGGCTGGTGTTTACTTGAAGATGAACAGATATTTTTGGGGGAAATCTTTGAGATTTTTACTAATAAATGAGCGGAATAACTACCAGTGCTCTCCTTACTCGTGAAGAAAAGTCCCAGTATTCTGAGAAGTAAAAATTAGAAGTGTCAGTACTGCATACTGGTGTGTACCGGAGCACTGGCTAAGTGTGAACAACAACAGAAAAAAAAAATCTGATTTACTTAAAAAAAACCTGAATTGAGCATCCAGACCTGTGTGTGAACGTAGCCTTAGGCTCCCTATTTGCTTCTAAATCACTCTTAGCATTGTTGGCTCAATGTTAGCCTCTAGCATTTGCCCACCATAGGATGTCCAAAAATCAGACCCTTCTGGGATGACTTTGCAGGAGTCATGAGGGAAGTAGTTGGATATGAGATTAAGAAGAACATTATATTTGGGCTTGGTGCCAGAAACCCGACCGTAGGACAACTACATGTATAAAGTTATACCATGTATTAAGCCAGCAAGAAATGTGCCTTGAGACGACTCGTCATGATTTGGCACTATATAAATAAACTGAATTGAATTATTTCTGATAAGTGTTGATTAGGGTGAAACGAAATTTCAGAGTGCCATAAAAAGAAAATTTGGTAAATTATTGACGAATTTGACCTCTAGTCACCTTTAACCTTTGAACATTCTGGAGGGATCTGATTGCAAGTTGTATCTAAAGCTGTAAATCCTTTTTCTGTAGCTCACATGAAACGTTTCAGCTACTAAATCTTCCATCAGAGGTCTGAAACATGCTGTTCTGCTCACAAACAGGCATATTAATGAATAACATGAGACACTGCAATGTTTGTGGCGTCTCTGAGGTCAAGAAGGCACAAAGACAAGTTTGCTGAATATTTAGAAGAACGTTCTCATGTGTGTTGTTTCTCGTGACAAAAACAAAGTGCTAAGTTAAAAGCAGCTCAAATATAGCAGATTTTAGAGGTCAAATTGTCTCGGTTTTGTTTCTGTGTTAGAAAGGAAATCTGACACATATTTGATTTCTGATTACTTTTGTTGCAATCATTTCTGAATTTAGATCCCGGACGAACCCCCTATTGTTTTTGCAGTCAGAAGGTGTGAAAAAAACTTTAGATGAGAAAAGAGGCCAAACTCTGTCCAACAGTCTGTTTAATCCACATTACTGTGGCTTTAATGCAGCTGTTTCCAGATCAATTTGGTCTGTTTACAGACTGAGCTCTCCTCACAACTTTAGGATGTTATCCAATGTTGTGTATGAAATAGCCAAGTGTCCAAAACAACAAGGACAGAAGGTCAGAGATCACGTGCTTCTGAAAGGAACTTAGAGCAGAAATGTTAGAGGTCTCTTATGGTATGAAAGCTGATTCCATGAGAATGTAAAATGTAACATACATTATAAACTACTTCTGCTTAAATCTTATGCAAATTGCAGTAATTTTCAGATTCACGTATTTTTAGTAAGGAAAATCTACATGAAATAATGTAACTTAATGTTTCTTCCCACACTCACATGAACTAGACGGTATCGGCACACAAGCAGAATCCTGTTCTGCTCTTTCTGTGAAAACTTTCCTTCACATATTTGTTTTTCCTGTTTAGTTTGTTTTAAATGACTCCTCAGAGATAAAGAGACTTATTATTGCAGACTGATGGCTTCAATGGCTGCAGCGCTGGGTTTGAACCCTGACCTCGACCTAATTTCACGCTCATGTTAACACTTCTACTGCTCATGTGGGGAAGAACCAGATACCAGGAGGACTAGGTTTACTTTTGTTTTGATGCAAAAACAAAAAGAGCCACCAAAGAGCTCCTCTCTGAAATTGTATACAGTAATATTGCTTTTTAAAAATCCAAAATACAACAAATTATTTTTTATTAATCATGTTTTTCCAACAACATTTCTGCATCACAGACCAGTTTCTGAAATGGTGTCAAAAAGAGTAAGAAGGAATGGTTTTTGTTGGAATAACTATGTTTTAGCAAGCTTAATGTGACCTTTTAGGGATTTTGTGTTTTAAAGGAACCAATTTCCGTAAAAAAGGCAAAGAGCTGATCACAGAGCGTGACTTCTTCATGAGGATGAAATGCACTGTGACTAACCGAGGACGGACCGTCAACCTCAAGTCAGCCAGCTGGAAGGTAAGGTCATTTTGAGCTGACTTTGAGTTTTATTTATTCTGCATGAGCATTAAGGCTGCAGGAAGGAGAACGTGCAACAGAAAGCAGAATCTGGTTGACTCCAAAAGTTATTAAGTTGTTGAAGAACCTCAAATTATGTTTTTCATTTAAATCCACTGTGGCTAATGAGATATCTTACTGATGGTCACCTTTGAGTGGGGGGTGATGGAACTGGCTGTGAGCTGACTTTCTTCTCCCCAGGTGCTGCACTGCACCGGCCACCTAAAGATCTACAACGGCTGCACCTCGCGGGTTCTCTGCGGATACCAGGAGCCTCCGCTCACTTGCGCTGTCCTGATGTGTGAGCCCATCCCACACCCATCCAACATCAACACTCCGCTGGACAGCAGGACCTTCCTGAGTCGACACAGCATGGACATGAAGTTCATCTACTGTGACGAAAAGTAGGAGCATGCACTGAATACCTGCTGGGTCCACGAACATAGAAATTATTTGATGTTTTCTTTCTGTGCACCTGAAAGCTGCAAAAAAACTTGGAAAATCTCAGTTTTATTGACATCGGTAAAAAATACATCTTTGTAATGGTTATTTGGGCATTCTTGAGTTTGAATTAATCAAACACCCGGTTGAGTGAAAGAGAGGAAACGGAGTACATGGAGCTGGGTTTAGTTTGTGAAACACCACAATATTAATATAGAAACTGTAGTATGGTATCGAAGTTTGCTTTCGTTTCATTTGTAGTTTATAATACATGGTCTCATCAGAGTTACTCCAGAGGGCATAGAAGAGGATTAGGAGAACATAGAGCTGGGTTTGTTTTTGCATCATTTAGAAACAGTTTTTAAAGTTTTTCATATTTAAGAATTTTGTACAACCCTACTAAAAACAGTTGTATGTTGTTTATCATATTTATCAAATATGGTTATATATTAGAAAAATAATATATATTTCATTGAAAAAGCTCTTTAAGTAATTATTAAACATTCAAAGTATCAAAAATTGGTACCGTTAAGTACCGGTGTCGATTCGTAAGTACCGGGAATCGGTACTGTATCGATTCATATGTCAAAGCTACCCATCCCTACACATGGACAATATTAATGATGCCCTCTCCAAAGACTTTTTTATCCTGCCTCCGAACCTTTAGACCACAGTCTTAATCACCCAATCCACTATAAAGGTCATATCCTGGACCTGGTCTGCTGTTCTGGTATTACTCCTACTGACTGCAAAAGAGCAAATTGCAAGTTAGAGATTCCCATGAACCAATGTTTTGAGAAACTTAATAGAAACTTGTTTTAAACATTTTTTTCACATGCATACATTATTTAGGCTTTTAGAGTCATTTTTGTGAGAAAGTTTTTCTTTTTACCAAACCAAGTGACGTCAGCTGAGGGAGTCCTGTTCTTCACAAACAATAGTTAATCAACATGAACACAATCCAAAACTAGTAAACACACACACTGACTGGATAACATGACCTCTGTACCCTAAAACTACCCACTCCACACTGAGCTGAGGCAGCGCCTAGCTTCTAACGCCCTTTGGTTACGCCAGAGGTTCAGATTTAGAAAATAGAGCCTTTTTAGAAGCTTTGCTGAGAAAGGCCACTTTTCCTAGAAAAACTCTGCTGTTATGTATTTTAAAAGGAAATATCCACAATAAGCAATTCAAATCTTTTTTGGACAACATTTTATATGAATTGGAAAAAAAATTACCTGCAATTTGCTCTTTAATCTCATCTCGCCCCATACTTTGATGATTTCTCATCACCTTTAACATTTACCCCTCCCTGTCCAAAATGATTTTTCCCCACACAATTTCATTCCTCAATATCAAAATATAAATTCTGACATTTTTCTTTGAATATCAACAATCTTTCTAGTCTCAGTGCTAACTGTTGACCTGGTCTCCAACTACAACAGAAACCTTTCTACCCTTCAGAATATCCACGCCCCACTGAAAACCATATCAGTCTCCTTCAGCCGCTCATCACCATGGTTCACCCCTGCCCTCCGTCAGCTCAAAGCTCAAGGACATCATCTGGAATGACTCAACAATAGAAATGGGCCCTCATTTATCAACTGTACTTACGAACACATCTGTGCGTATTTCGTGCGTTGAAAGAATTTTACAAATTGTGTGGCATTTACCATTTTGTACTTGTGCACAGAAATGTTCCTAAATATAAGAACTGCTTTGACCATACATATGAAAAGCACCTTTTCCTTCTTCCGGCTCTTGGAGAGTATAGATGCTTTTTTCTCCTCTCCCTCCCTCCTTATCCCAAGGCTCTTTGTTCTGTCTTGTGTGCACAGCGCTTTCTGCATTTTTTCTGGAAAACCTGGCTTACCGGAAAATTAACGAGCTTTCGAGGAATATTGGCTCAATCTCGGAGCTCAGGGATGGAATGCATCATGCTGTGAACGCACAAACTCATATAATTGTCGAGATGAGTCGTAAGCTTGGAACTTTGGCTGAGATTCAGGCTCTGGCACAAAAGGTGGATTCCATCAAGGAGCGAGTGGATGGATCAGCACGGATTGGGATGGATTAATTACGCCATTATTGGATCTAGAGTGGTTGAAGACCAACAGAACACTAAGGCGGAGAGGAAATTATCTCTGTCTGTCCCCAAACAATTTTTATCTGAATCTGGTGCCCTTGGAGCCTGTGAGGCTGAAGTGAATAATCCCCCCTCAGAAGAAGTGCGGAATGCTGCTGTCGCTATGGAAACTCTTTCTCCCTATCCCAGCCTGGGCGGGACTGTGACCGGTGAAGGGCGTGGAACCGTATCTAGGAGTCACTGTGCTCTCTAACCCATTATCTCCCTCCCCTGTCCAAACAGAGGTGATGAGCGCTGCACCAAGCGGCTGCATGAACTGAAGTGAGGAGAGTCCCAACCCTACCTCCCCACCTAGTGGACACTTATGTTGTGTAATGTCTGAAGTCTGTGTGCACATCTGTCTGAGGTGTTTTTTTGCATAGCAAAGCTATCCTCTCTGTGGAGGGTAACTCTGAAGTGCCTTTTTCCCCCTCCCCTGACTCTATCCTCATATAAACCCTCTTGATCTATTACGGTAGTGTGACTCGTGTTGCGAATGACCAGTCACCAATTCTTGTCATGTGTCTATGTTTGCATGTCTGATCTTGGAATTGTGTGTACTGAAACTCTAATAAAGTATTTTTGAATTGAATTGAATTGAGTTAGCATGGGAGAACCGCTAAACTGAAAGCCTCAGACATCAGTTCGTTTTCCTCATCCACAAATTATTTTTACCCAATAAGTAAACATGTTGGCGGAGAAACAGCTTTATCACATAACCGGTGTTAAAACCAATCAAAGACACCTAAGACCAACGGGACTCTATTGTAGCATGGCTGATCTTGTGTTGTTGGAGGATTTGGCAGAGCGTGCACTCTAGAGGGAATGCGTCCTTCGTGAGTGCACTGACCGATTCCTGAAGGAGATTCTTCTGAAGCTATGCTGTGATTTGGGACCCTTTGTGGAGTGACACACGAACAGCAAAAATCCGATTCCAGTCCATGCTCCACCGTTGACAACTAGAACCCCAAAGTTGGCAAAATGACTGATAGCTGTGCCAGTCGACAGAGGAAGCTGCGTCTTTTGTATGTTTGTTCTGTTTCATCTAACTGCATTAATAAAATGTTTTAACATGGCAAATGAGTTGTTTTGACCATGTTTTTGCTGACGTTTCGACTAAAGCCTAATTTATACCGCTCTCTCTGCGTCCGGACGGACACAATCAACGCAGTTATGTGTCAACACAAGAGCCCTCTGACGGGCCTGCAGAAGAAGACGGAGACATGAAAAAAAAAGACGAAGGCAGTGTCATGTTGACCTGTAGGAGTTGGTGGACCATGTGTGGTGGAGAGTTCCAGGAGGCAGAAATGCAGGCACGGACAAAGTAAAAATGGGTTTAATGACAGGATACGGCAGGAACGAGAACAACACAACAAACAACAATGATCTCAAAGACTGGCACAAGGAGGGAGGTATAAATACACAGGGAAATCAGGAACACATGGGCAGGTTAACGAGGGGCAGGTGAGAACAATAAGGGCTAATCAGGGCAGGAGAGAGACACAGTCAGGAAGGCAGGGGCAGAACGTGACAGTACCCCCCCTCAAGGGGCGGATACCAGAGGCCCACAAGGCCACACAACACAGGAGACTGGGAACACTTGACTGGACAGGAACACTTGACTGGACAGGACAGGAGCACTTGACTTGACTGGACAGGAACACTTAAACTGCAGCAGCCGGGCGTGGGACCCAGCAGAGAACTGCAGCAGCAGGCGTGGGACCCAGCAGAGAACTGCAGCAGCAGGCGTGGGACCCAACAGAGACTGCAGCATGAAGGACCTGCAGGCATAGACCCTGCAGGCGTGGACCAGGAAGTGGGACAAACAGCAGGAGCGACGCGAGGAAACCAGGAGCGGTAGCAGGTACTCGGCAATAGTCCTGAGCAGGTGCACACCATGACTCGCCTGGATCCAACAGGCGGAGGCTCGGGTGAAGGGAAGCCGACACGGAGCAGGAAGACCAGCCCTACCACCCTGGAGAACGTTGGCGTGCGTAGGGGGTTTTACCTCCATCAAAAACTCCAGGAAAAGCAGCTTCCGTGAAAAACAGGACGGGGCAGAACAGCAGGAGAGGAGAATGGGTTTGACTACCCCGGGAACAAACAGGAAGCGCCGAAACCCCCTCAATGGATCAGACCACCCCAGAAACGGGTAGGATGCGCCGAAAAACCCCTCGAGTCAGAATCTCCCTCAGCTGAACGGGAAAAAAAGAAAAAAATAATCCTCCAGAAACAGATGTTAAGCTCACCACAGGTCCAGGTTGGTCAGATCATTCTGTCATGTTGCGCTGTAGGAGTTGGTGGACCATGTGTGGTGGAGAGTTCCAGGAGGCAGGAATGCAGGCACGGATAAAGTAAAAATGGGTTTAATGACAGGATACGGCAGGAACAACGAGAACAACACGACAAACAACAATGATCTCAAAGACTGGCACAAGGAGGGAGGTATAAATACACAGGGAAATCAGGAACACATGGGCAGGTTAATGAGGGGCAGGTGAGAACAATAAGGGCTAATCAGGGCAGGAGAGAGACACAGTCAGGAAGGCAGGGGCAGATCGTGACAGACAGCAGGCTTGTGACTGGTCAGGCCGCTGCTTCCTGTAAATTCATCAGCAAAAATAAAGAGAGATTTAGTGGCAGATGCGGAACAGATTGAAGAACGCATTGCAGAAAGTCTGAAAATATGACCGTTTATTCACCGTGACTGAAGAAGTACAAAGATATGCAGCAAGTGATTTATTTGTGGATAGAAAAGGTGAGAAACGTGGGTTTAGAGGTGCCTATCACATGAAGAGATGGAGAGGAATGAGGGACAAATTTGCCTGTGTCAAAAAGTCTCTGAAATACATTAAAACTATGTAAACACAATAGTTAATACGCTATTGTGGACCGGATACAGGACTGTAATGGTGGCAGGATACCCCAGAATAGCGCTACGCCCTCTGTTGTCCTGGCAGGGAACTGTTTTGCAACAATCCCCAGCTGACAGGGAAGTCTTGGAGCCAAACATCTGTCAACGTGTGTGCGTGTCTCCCTCGTGGAGCCGACGGAGAGGCTTTGCTGCTGTTGGCGGCGTCACTTCCTTCTGCATTTGTCAGCAGCCAGCAGAGAGGGCGACAGCGTCCTCTGCTGCCCGTGCTCCCCTTGACGATGACACAGTCTCATACGTGATCCAATGTGTAGACCCCATCGTCTCTGTTCATGGTTGTGTGCCCACGTCTCCTTATTGCCATGGCTTCCTTAATCCATCTTTTATATTTCTGTTGTTCTGTGTTTATGATCCTGGTTCCGTCCCAGTCCATTATACGGTTTTTCCTTGTGCAGAGGTCTGTTACGGCTGATGTCTTTATTGTACTTTCTGCTTCTTGTTTCGCTGCTCTTGTGTGTCTTTAATTTTTTTCTTTCTCACACTCTGTTCTATGTTCTGATGTTTTGTGTGTTGTGTTGAGTTGGCGTTTTCCTGCATATTTTATTGCAGAGTTTGCAGGGACTTCATAAATGACTCCACATTTTTGTCCTGCTGGCATCTTGTCCTTTGGGTGTTCTAATATTTTTCTAGCTGTACAGTTTTGTTGGTGTGTTTATGTTGTGGAGTTATGTTTTTGCTAAGCCTTTGTTGTAAGGAAGAGTTATCACTGGTTTTGGTTCTTGTCTTTCTGGATTGCTGGTTCTTTGTTTTGGTTGTTCTTTTCTTTCTGTTGTTGTTTATTGTTTTCTTTTGTTTATTGCCCATGTCGGGTACCCGCGGGTCTTTGAAGCATTCTGATATATGTTGGTTATTATGTTTGCTCGGTGGTATAACGTTCTGTTTACTGGCATTTTCTGTATGGTAGGATGTTCTGATGTCCAGAGTAGATATTGGTCAGTGTGTGTTGGTTTCCTGTATGTGTTTTATGTTCAGGGTCCCGTCTCTCTCTCTGGTTATTTTCATGTCCATGAACATTGTGCTGCCTTCTGTTTCTTCTTCATATGTAAAATTGATGTTGTCGATATTGTTCAGGTGTTCTGTTAGTGTCTCTGTTTTTCCCTGTGGAATGATTCTAATGTCGTCCACGTAATGTTTCCATAACTACCAGCTGTGGAAGAACTAGATTCCTAGCAGAAGCTGATCAGAGTTCAGAGGAGTTCGGTGAGCTGCAGCTTCATGTTCTGAACTGATGCCTCTTCAAACACAAGCATAAAGAGCTGAACTCAAACGGAGAAAGTCAACTTTAGGAGTGATTGCTGCGTGTTGACGGATCCGTCTGGTTTGGCACAGATGCTGCTCTTAGCTCCTAAACAACACATAAAGCCTCTGAGAGGTTGCTGGTTTGTCACTGGAGCATTCCAGAAGTTGCTGCTCAGTGACAAATGTGTCAAGGATCCTGCAACTGTACATGTGACGAAAGGTTTAGGATATTCAACTCTTTCTGTGTCACCAAAGAAGAACAGAGCAGGTTGAGGTTTTCAGGTGCAACAACAGGTTTTGTTTGTTTTCTAGTTGTTTCTGGCTGGTGTGAAGAGAGGACAGAAACCCCCAGATGCAGTTGCACAAACGCAGACCTGTAATCTTTTCAAGGTGCTCGTGTGAGCCAAAGGTTTGGGTAAACAAGGACCGGCTTTCATCTTTTTCATCTACTGAGCACTTTAATAACATCAAATCTTTTCTCCGATTACGTAAATGAGTTTGATTAGGTGGGTCCTGCAGGGACTTGGACTCATTAGAGAAGGAACTAGAAGTTCTTTCAGCTTGGTTGTGGCTGCAGAACAGAAAACAGACAAATGGAGGTAGTGGACAAAATGGAAGAACAGGTTTTCAATAAGTGGCAGCAAGTCAAAAATCCCCACTTTGACAACTTACAGAAGCTAATGTAAATGTGTTTACAGAAGCTAACTCCTCCGTGTCTCTTTTAACTGTGTATTTTCTCAGGTAGATGCGCACAGAAGCTAACTCCTCCGTGTCTCTTTTAACTGTGTATTTTCTCAGGTAGATGCGCGTGTCTCACTTTTTGCGTGAGGCCTGAGAGCTCTGCATTCGAATCGAGTTTGGGCTTCAATTCTGTTGGGTCACTTTGGGTTCGGGGTGAATTTAGTGACTCGTAGAGAACTCTCATCCGTGTGTGTGTGTGTGTGTGTGTGTGTGTGTGTGTGTGTGTGTGTGTGTGTGTGTGTGTGTGTGTGTGTGTGTGTGTGTGTGTGTGTGTGTGTGAATGGGTGAATGACTGATTGTGTTGTGAAGCACCTTGGGGGGTTGTAGAACCCTTAGAAGGCGCTACACAAATAGAGGCAATTTACCATCTTCACACATTGCCTTGTGATTCCTGGGATGTTCGGATTGCTCAGTCAGGATGATGAAGGGAACTGGGAGAGAGGAATTGACGGTCATCTAAAAATGTCTCGGGTTAAAAGAGAAAAATCACCAAAATTATTTTATGAAATCAAGAAGAATTTCTGAATTATTTCAGTGAAAACTGTTGAATTTTTTTATGTGCTTAAACAAGCTCATTAGAAGCCACATCACCATGGAAACAGGGTTAAGTGGAACTGTCACAGTCTGGGGTCACTTGGAGTTGATCTTCATCTTGTTTGTGGCGAGTAGCTGTAGTTCGGGGTGGTTTCAGGTTGTCATGGTGCTGGTGGTGTGAGTTTCCTGCAACTGTTTGCTCAGAGGGTCACTTCCTGTTCAGGCCATGTCCTTATTTGGGAAGAATCTTGTTCTGGTGACCTTTGACCTAATGGTTTATTTTGCTGCTCAATTCTAATTTAGCAGCGTCGAACCCTGGAAAAGCATCTTTTTTGTTTTGTTTAACCCCTGATAACATTCTGCTGACCCACCTCAACTGAATTCCTCCGTTTCATAATCCCATTACTGCAATCGTCTGATTCACCTCCAATCTTTGAATATTTAATGAGAGCTGGAGGGAATAAAAAAGAGGAATCTGTTAAAGACCTCGTGATGAGAAGGATTAGCTGATCTCCATACGGATAGAAGGTTTTTAAAGGAGCATCTAGCTCAGTTCAGGCAGGAATCAGGGATCGTCTCTGACGTGAGGCGGGAACTCAGAGCTGAGATTTATAATCTGATCTAACGTGTGTTTCAGGGTGATGGAGCTGACGGGCTATACTCCGGAGGACCTGCTGGGCCACTCAGTCTATGAGTTCTACCACGCCATGGACTCTGACAGTGTCACCAAGATCCACAACAACTGTAAGTCCAACACACGGAAAATCACACAGTGAATTGGTTGATCAAGAGAAGAATTCAGAAGTATGTGCTGGACTTACTCAGTGGATGTTGGGCTGCTGTGGTGAAATCCATTGGGTTTGGCTGCCCCGGGGATCCCAGAAGCTTTTTTATCTGGGGCGGTTTAGGTTTTGGTGTGTTCTGACAAGACTGATTGTGACTGAACAAAGCGTGATCCAGAAGTTCTCACGATGAACCAGGAAGCAAGAGGCGTTCCTCCAGGATCTTCTTTGGGGCCTCTCCTATTTTCAATTTTTATGAATGAGCTGCCTTTGTGTTGTTCTTTGCATTAGGTGCTTTTATATGGTGATGAGAGACAGAAAAGTGTCTTTTATATAGCGCCTCTCAAGATAAAAATATTCTGAATGGTAAAAAAAAAGTAGCCCGGCCTGCCAGACTCGTCCTCTGTTTAATTCTGCACAGAGAAAGAGTCTGGTAACTCACAGGCAGAGAGGCACTTTAGGGGCGGGACTAGGCAGCTCAAACATAACCAATCAGAAAAAAGACGGAATTGTCGACTGTACCACGCTACACTGTCGTTTTTTAGCTGTAGTCAAAAATGGTGTCTGGCGACAGCGCAAACAACTTTCTTTAGAAGAAAGGCTTTTAGCGCTTCTACTTGTTGTTTTAAAGACGTGTCCAAGTCATTTAGAACAGAGGTTAGAGCCGCAGCAAACTCCACTTCAGTCACCATGTTCGACAAACTCGGTGTTATGGTCTGTGACAAACGCTACTCAGCGCTGATTGGCTCAGTTAGAATTCTCAGGGGGTGGGGTTATTTGAATAGGAGAGTTCCCAGACCCTTTCTCTGTGCAGAATTAAACAGAGGAGGAGTCTGGCAGGCCAGGCTAAAAAAAGAACCCAGAAAAACTTCTAAAGAGATCCAAGGAGAACTTCAAGCTCAAGGAACATCAATGTTAGATCGCACCATCTGTCGTTGTTTGAGCCAAAGTTGACTACATGGGAGACGACCAAGGAGGATACCATTGCTCAAAACAAATCATAACAAAGCCAGACTGGAATATGCCAAACTACACGGAGGAGGCTCTGTTATGTTCTGGGCTGCTTTGCTGCATCTGGCTCAGGGTGTCTTGAATCTGTGCAGGGTACAATGAAATCTCAAGACTATGAAGGGATTCTAGAGAGAAATGTGCTGACCAGTGTCAGAAAGCTTGGTCTCAGTCAAAGGTCATGGGTCTTGCAACAGGACAATGACCCAAAACACAGCTAACAACACCCAAGAATGGCTAAGAGGAGAACAGTGGACTATTCTAAAGTGGCCTTTCTATGAGTCCTGACCTCAATCCTATTGAGCATCTTTGGTAGGAGCTGAAAAACGTCGTCTGCAAAAGGCACCCTTCAAACTTGAGACACCTGGAGCAGTTTGGTCATGGGGACTGGGCCAAAATACCTGCTGAGAGGTTCAGAAGTCTCATTGATAGTTACAGGAATTTTTTGATTGGCCAAAAGGTTGTGCGACACGGTAAGTTAGGATTCCGCTGAAGTGTGGTCGAGAGCAATGTCTGACTTTCATTGGTTAAATTTAATAGAATTTTAGTTTATTATTACTTTTGTCAGATTCAAGTTATTTGTGGAGCCGTTATGGGGTTTTCTTTCATTGACCGAAGGGCACCAACATTTTTCATTGGATATTTTCTGTTTTCGTGTTTTTCTTTTGACCCTTTGATATTGATTCACATGGAAAATGTTACTTATCTGATCTTGGTCTTTTATTCTCATTGTACAATTTTTATGGAGGACCCTGAAAAGGAGATGGCTCACCTAAAGTGGCTTTATCTGTCAAGAACAGAACTCAGAAGACCCGTGAAGACGCCAACACAGTAAAAATATATAAAAAATTCTTTTATTTTAGGAAGAGTTACCAGGAGGGTGAGGCTGGAGACAGAGTCGGTAGGCAGGCTAAGGTCCAAAATGCAGGTGGAATACAAGGCAGGGGTCAGGCACAGAACGAGGTCCGGAGGCAGAGATCAGGCAGGGTGAATTGCTGGAGAATACTTCACTGGCAGGGCTGTAATAATCTGGCATCTGTTGACTGGATGGCTGGTTCTTTTATAGCAGGGGAAGCAGGTGTATGGGATGAGGCTGATTACAGGAACAGGTGGAATGAATGGAGCTGATTGAAGCCGACAGAGGTTGCTGGGGAAAACAGGGCTTGGCTGGAGCTTGATGAGAGGACAAGGTGAGCTGAATGAGGAGGAAATGATAAGGCAGATGAGGGAAAAGGATGGGAGTCATGACATTATTCTCCTAAAATATAAGTGCATAAATAAATAAGATGCATCACCTGGACTTTCTGGGGAGGCTTGTCGGAGAGCCAGGCCTTTACCCGAGGGGGCTCAGTGGGCACAGCTCACAAATCTACAAGGACCAAACTCCTGCAGACCCACTATCTGAAGAAGACGCTGTAAGGGACTGGGGTCTCATTTATAAAGCATACTTACTCACAAAACGGGGTCTGAAAACTGCGTAAACAACTTTCCACGCAAACTTTGGGATTTATAAAAGAAAACATAGCGTGAAAATGTGCGCAACTTTAAGTTGACTAAGGACCTGGCTTACACACATTTTGGACATGGAGAGCACCTGCAGTTCTGCTGCTGAGAAGGATAAAATTATGAATTCCAGCAGCATTATCACCTGTACCGATTCGTGCCACACAGAACACAAGTACCTCAATTTCTGCTTTGGTAAATTTGCGCTTCCTTGATCCGGGGTCGCCATCGTTAGTGGTGGAGCACTGCAACGAGCCGGCTTATGTATAAGGCACTTTGCATTGACCATTTATGGCAGAAAGTGGGCGTGTTGAAGGCGGGATGTGATCCAGAAACACCTGAGAACCTTTCTAGGTAGTTTGTGATTTATAAAGCGGGGATTGCTTGAAGCTGTGCGTTCTCCGTGTTTTATAGGTCACAAACCTACTTGGCGTAAGTACTTTTTTTTGCTGAGCTTAAGTACGGGTTTAGTAAGGATTCTAAGCAATGTTTTACAAATGAGACCCCTGGTGTTTAGTGGTTGGACAACAGTTGGAGGACCCAGTCTGATCTTCAGTCCCTGAAACCAGATTTGAGGGTTTTACTGGTGGGGAAAGAACCAAGCACACTTCCACCCACAGCTTGGACTCTGGAACCAGTCAGCTGTAGAGGAGCTGGGCTCTGTGCTGGTCTGGAGTCCCTCTGGGTGAGAGGGGGTGGATCAGCCTGTTGCTACAAGTGTTGGGACTTCTCTCTGGTGGGTAGGAGGGTGCCCCTCCATGTGGGACAATGGGTCCTGACTCAGTCCACCCAATCATAGTTCAGATTACATATGCTCCTAGTTGGCAGTGGGCGAAGTGCTGGAACACTCTCAATCTGGGGATTTATCGGGGGGCTTCAACCCCCTGTGTAGGATAGGACCATGTGACCTGGAGGGGTGTGATCAAGGGGGGATCAGTTTATCACTCATCCTCATTAAAAATATACATTTCCCTAAAGAAAATAGTCTCTTTTGAAACAATATTTGGACATTTGAAACCAGCTTAACTCATTTGGAGTGGACATCAGGTGTTTTATGGTCAATGATTAGTATTATCTACAGGTTTCTGTGGTTCCACAGCCCTCTCTCTTCATATGCAAGTGTGTTTTTCTTTGTATGAGCAGAGCAGGAGCATTAAGGGGCATTAAGATGTGTTTGATCAGTCTAAGTGAAGCTACTGATGGCCTGATGAGGTTTGGACACATCTGGTGCCACAAACACAGCTGACAGGAGACCAGCTGGCCTCGGCTACAATCTAATGACGCTGTTTGTGTGCAGACGAGGCTCTGAAGTGTCATGGCTAATCTCTCCGCTGACAGCATCGTTAGAGGCCGTGGATCTCTGCAACATGATCTGTGTGTGCGTGATTGAGTAAAAACCACTCTGGGCCCAAGTCACCCATATTTAGTAGATTTGTTCTATTTGATTTGTTTGAAACACAAGATAAAAGAGTGTGCTCCTTTTTTTTCTCTCTGGCGAGTTGAGCTGGCTGAAATTTGCAGAGATAAAAGGCTTTCTATCTGAAAGTCTCACAGACGATCCGCTCTCACGGCCAACGTGACCAGCCTGTCGATTAGCGCACGCTAACAGTGTCCTCTGCTACATATAATGCTGCCCTGAACTTCCTCTGAAACACACACACACACACACACACACACACACAGAGAGAGTCAGTGGCCCAATGTGCGATTTCTGACTAGTCATGCTCCTTTCCCACGACTGAGTTGAACTCTGGACTGCAGCCAGCACATCTCCTCCTCTTCTCAAAGTCAAACACTCAGCTCTGTTATGCTGACAAACATTTGCATAAAAGAATGTTATTTGTTAAAGAAAAAAGGCCCAAAAATCTAACTAATCTGACCTTTGATCAGAAATATTGTTACTGCACTGGAATAAACAAGAAGTAACCTGAGCCTTTACCAGAGGTGTGTGTGTGTGTGTGTGTGCTTGTCTTTATATGGTTAAGTGGGCAATTTTTAACTTTAACCAGTAGTGTGTGGACATTTCCACATTGTGGGGACATTTTGCTGGTCCACACAATGCTAAGCACCCTAAAACGTGGAGGTATGGTGTGAATTACCTTTTAGTTTAAGTCAGGGTATGGGTTGGGCATAGTGGAGTCACTAAAATGAATGGAAGTCAATGGAGGTCCACACAAGGATACAGGTGTGTGTGTGTGTGTGTGTGTGTGTGTGTGTGTGTGTGTGTGTGTGTGTGTGTGTGTGTGGTTTGTGTACAAGGTGCATCACTCCCACAGTCCACGGAGGAGAGGAAAAGAGATTAATTATCCGACACCGTGCTCATTCCCACATTGATTGACAGAAGCAGCATCTGACCAACCAGTGGTTAAAGATCCACATGGAGCTGCTTAGATGGCAGTGTAGTGAGCACATGAAAGACTTTGTCAAAACAAGAGGAGTGTGCTTCATTTAAAAGTGGGCATGTTGAAAATAAATACTTTACGGTCACAAGCATCCCAACAGAAGAGAGGATAATTCTGTCAGCATGTAGACTCAATAATCATGTTTTATACTAATAAAAGAGAGAAGGCTGCATAAATACTTTCTTCTGGAGGTTTCATTAAGATTTTTAACGAACATTAGTCATCATGCAGCAGCTGATTATTTATGGAGCACACAGAGAGAGGAGGGGTGAGAGAGAGTGACAGGACGTTGTGTAATGTAGAGATTATTCATGAATGTTTGTTCAATCTAGTTCATAATAAATATTAAGAAGGGCATTTTGTGTTTTGAGAGGGAATACCATTGTGACAAAACCAAACCCCGTATTTCAGCCCTCTACATTACAGCTGCAACTGCACCTCCGGCCACATGAAATAATTATTTATTCATTTGGTTTTATGTGTAAATAAAATGAATAACTCTCACCAAAGTTGCTGATTACTTATAGATGAAATCCATCCTCCTCTCTGCAGGAAGACTTAGATAACACTGTCATGGAACTGTCTCTGTGTTTTAGTTCCATCAGTAAGTCTTTTCTATGCCGTGGAGGTCGAGGCTGAGTCGCCTCTGGCTGAGACAAACGAGTGACGGGGTTGGGCGACTCTCGTAATGACGATCAGCTTCTCTGAAAAAGCCCGTATTTGCAGGTGTAAACGAGCAGGTCATGAAGCTAAACGTGACTGTAAAAATAAAGCCAGTCATGCAGCTCAACGTTTTATTCTATATTTGACACCTACTGCATCGTGGAAGTCAGTTGGTCTTGTAGAGTTTTTAGCTACCATGACTGAGTCCTGACCAGGGCAGCCTACACAAACCCTAAATAATAATAATAATAATAATAATAATAATAATGCATTGAACTTGTATAGCGCTTTTCTAGACACCCAAAGACGCTTTCACACACACTCACATTCACACACTGCTAGTGATGGTAAGCTACTTGTAGCCACAGCCGCTCTGGGGAGGTCTGACAGAGGCGAGGCTGCCATTTGGCGCCGTCGGCCCCTCTGACCACCACTAACACAGGCAAGTTGGGTGAAGTGTCTTGCCCAAGGACACAACAGCAGGATACCCCTGGCGGGAGCTGGAATCGAACCCATGACCCTCCGATCATGAAGCAACCTGCTCTACCACCTGAGCTACTGCTGCCCCAATGCCCCATGCCCCAATAATGATAATAATGTGTGAGAGGAACTATTAAGAATGGAAATCATTCTCCTCTGAACACAAGTTATGGAAGCGCTCACTTTTCCAGTATACTTGGTTTGTGTCAGAGGCGTTGTTCCCTCTCATTCGCCTTGCTGCAGGGCCGGGTCCCTCCCTAGCCTGCCCCAGGGGCCCACTGCCACCCCCCTGCCCCACCCATGTACGGTAGCGTAAAGGATAGATGGACCAATGGATCAGAACCGTGTCTGTGTTAATGAGAGGTTTGGTGGAGGAGCTGAACAGAAACATCTTCTTTTGATTAGATACTCGGTCTACACTCCAGCCCTCACAGAACAGTAGGTGAGATTTAGATGGAGAATGAAGGAACCAGATGCTGAGATGATTTTCCAATGTTGTCTGACCTCAGTTGTGGAGATGAAGTCAAGGAGAGAGCTCAAAGTCGAGCCACTGCTCCTCTTCATCAAAATAAGTCAACTGAGATGTTTCTGGGTAGACCCAGAGACATTAGACATTCTGTGTAGAAAAGCGAGACTTTGGAAGGGTTTGAAGACCACGCTGTGGCTAAAATGCTAATCGCTAAGAAATGAAGACATTCGTGTCAAAAACGTATGTCCCATGTGACCCGAGCACTTTTGTAATTTGTCACCCAGACTCCATCTGATTCCAGCTCAGAACGTCGTGTCTCTGACGAGTTTTGGGTTGAAGCTTTTCAAGTTTGACATAAACAGCTGGTTCTACGTCTGAATCTGACATGTGTGTGTTAACATCTCCTCCTGGGCTTTTTCGTGTCTGTCTGCAGTATGCACCAAAGGTCAGGTGGTGAGCGGGCAGTATCGCATGCTGGCAAAGAGCGGGGGTTATGTCTGGGTGGAGACTCAGGGAACCGTCATTTACAACAGCCGAAACTCTCAGCCGCAGTGTGTCATGTGCATCAACTATGTCCTCAGGTGAGTGCTGCTCAGCCAAGATCAAAAGACAAACGTTTTCCCTATGTTTCATCCACCTTGTCATGTTTCCACCGTCCCTTAGTGACGTGGAGGAGAAGTCTGTGATTTTCTCCTTGGAGCAGATGGAGGCACTGTTCAAGCCTCAACACATGAGCAGCTTCTTCACTCCAGAGGGAGTGGGCATGAATGGAGAGCCAGGAGATTCCCTCTTCACCTCAATGAAAGAGGAGCCCGAGGACCTGGCTCAGCTGGCTCCAACACCTGGAGACACTATCATCTCCCTGGACTTCGGTCAGTTTGACCTCTGACTTCTTCTCTGCCTGTTTAACGGAATTTCGTGTTTACAAATGTGCGTTAAAGATTGAATTAAAAATATTTTCACTTATTTCTCTCAGGTCGTCCTCAGTTTGAGGAGTCCCAACAGCCAGCTGCGTACACCCCTGTTTCGTCTTCATCCATGCCTCCTCCGGGACCGTCATCCTGGCCGAGCGAGAGCCACAAACCTGCTCGAGCCCAAACTCCGTCAGGAGATGTGGCTAACAAGGCCGGTCCTTTCACCATGCAGCAGAACCGTCCTCCGGGCAGCGCCACTCCAAGCCTTAGCAGTTGCTCCACGGTGAGGATGTCTCACCATTAATTAGTCAGCTTCTGGTCGATTGTGTTTGCTCTCTCTGTGTTCAGCGAGGTCAGCGAAAGTGGGCAGAGTGTGTGAGAATATCGGGGGTGGAGGATTGGATGGAGCAGGCCGTTAGCTCTGAATGGTGTCTTTGTGTCGTTCTGTCTTTCCTCTCACATTTAGACCTTTTGTCTCTGATGTTGTCTTGCAGCCCAGCAGCCCAGGTGATTACTACGGCCCAGTGGAGAGCGATCTGAGGATAGAGCTCACTGAGAAGCTCTTTGCTCTGGACACAGAGGGGAACAACTCAGCAAGCACTGAGGTGGGACACAGTACTTACTCACACCTTCACATGTATGCAGACCATGTTCCTTTAATCTACCAGAGAATTATAAGATGATTTAATTCTTGTTGTGTTATGTTAGAAAATTGTGATGTGTGAGTTGTAAAATGAGTCTGGCTGAATGTTTAATGAGGTTTAACAAGTTATCAAATTAGTAATAAAACCATCCTGATGCCAGGTGAGAGACTACGATTACCCTTGTGATGAAAGTTCTTGGTAGGTCCAGCTGGCTAGGAAGTCTAGTCGGCTTGCTGCCAGGAGGAGTTGACTTCTGGAATGTTAAAGGTTGCAGCTACCTAACCCTAACCCTGTCCTTCCAGTGAGCTTTGCAGATGTGGGAAAATGTCATCAGGCAGTAATCATTGTTAAATTCATAATTATTCTCGGAGAGAGACCAACTCTTATCTGCCCCTGGGAGCCCCGTAATGCATAGCGTCATTTCAACATGGGGGTGTCCGCGGCACGGTTTATATGCAGGTAGCGGTGCTGCGGCTGCTTTATATAGCGACTCGTTGCATTCTCCCTCAACCCAAATCCTCGGATCACGCATTTTAGCTAAAATGCTAACGTTAGCTTGCCTTGCGTTGACTGTAGAGTTGTGGGTGATGGTCACGCAGATGTGTCATGAGATTTGAAGCGTTGCTGCCTTTCACAAACACTTTTTCTGCACGTGCTGCAAACAGGATGGCCGTCTTCTATCAACTGTCCCTCGGCATTCTTCAAATATCTAAAAGATGCCCGTACTTCCCACTTTGTCTTCTTTGAGGGATAAAAATGTCCTCCTGAGCGCTGCCGTCTCCTCCTTTGGCCATTATTTCAGCTTTAGCTTCAAGAAAGTTTTGGTTGTAAACAACAAAGTGCGCGTGTGCCGCCGGCAACTTCAGCAGATGATACGGTGGCTGGTAAGGGTCACCGCGCCTACACAGCAGCCACGGTAACCCACTGAGATAATATAGTTTTTAAAAAACAAGACGGTTATTATTGTCAACTTTTTTACCGGGGTTTACCGCTACACCAGTTACCGTGACAACCTAATCTACGTTACAGCATCAAAAACAAAAAATGGTTTCCGGTCTAAGCCCTGGGCAGCTGGTGATGTCTCACAAGGAGTTTTGCTCAAATAGCGAGTGTAAACAACCCCCGACTCCGATGTTTCTGCTTTAGCCTTGTAGCTCGATGTGTCATCGGTCAGATGTAGCTTCTGAAGCCTCTGCTAGACGGTCAGATTTGTTTTTTCTCTGGGATACAGCGACGAGAACAGATATCTGGTTACTGTAGAAGATCTACCGAACTCTGACACCGCTAGCTGGATGGCTGGAGGAGCTGACATGTTTGAGACAGTTTGACTCAGAAGACATGCGACCCGATTTGGACACCGGAGAGGATTCTGTTTGTCTTCAGAATCAAAATCAGTAAAGCTTGTTAACGTTTACTGAATATTTAATTTCTGTGCTTGTAGTGCTCCTACCAGGAGCTCTCAGCTAGTCTCTGCTCTATCATACTGTCCCAAATTAATTCAGTAATAATAAATGGATGTACAGTACGTTTAGTTTTATATTTGCAGACTAGTCAGGTTTTCACATATATACTCCATTTGTGGTCTTCCTATGTGTGCTGACTGGACTGGCTCATTTTATCATTTATAGTTTTACATAATGCTGTCGTTGCTCACTGACACAGATGTCAAACACATTTCATGTAAAAATGAGAACAATATTCACCACCGATCTGTCCTGGTTCCTCTCCTCCAGGCGGACTTGAGCGACTTGGACCTGGAGACTTTGGCTCCTTACATCCCCATGGATGGCGAGGACTTCCAGCTGACTCCCATCATTCCAGAACTCGAGCCCCTGAAGGTGGCTCAGGCCGGCTCTGTGGGCAGCATCAGCAACCTGAACATGCAGCAGAGCTTCAGTAACATCACCAGCCTCTTCCAGCCGCTGACCTCCCCTTCCCAGCCTCAAAATCACTTCCTCCCACAGCCAAAGGTGTCTTGGGCCACTGGGGAGAGGAGAGGCTCTGGCCAGGGGGTTGTGGACACCAGATCCAGGTCCTACATGATGAAACACTTGCAGAATCTCCCGAATCGGGCCCCAGCCAGCACGCCTCTATCTTCGATGCAATGGCCTCCGGACCCGTTAATAACTTACCGACACGAACGGCCTCCTAAAGCCTACCCAATGGATAGTTTGTCTGAAGAGGAACGTCCATCCTGCCAGCAGAACGTCCCACATCTAATGCAAAAGCAGAGGTGATGATATAAAACAGCAGTAAATATTCATTAAAATATCTTAATAGAAATGTTTACTTGTGTTGTATAATTTATTATTGTATTTTTCTAGGTCTATTGACGATTTTATCCAGGCTTACAAAGATGTGAGTCCTGCCAGAGTGGCCATGGCCAACAGCATCAAACGCTCCTTCAACCAGGTGGCTGCGGTGAGTTTCTGCCTCCTACCTGTTAGTAAAGGCCCATTTTAACCAAGGAGCAGAAGAATCAGAACTCCGGCTTGGTGTTTAGCTGCTCTAATCTTGACCCAGTGCAGATCAACACAGAAGGTTCCAGGGAGTTTCTGTCAGGAGTTCATCCTGCCTGTTGAAGAAGAAGAAGAAGAAGAAAATATCATTTCTATAGCGCCTCTCAAGATAAAAATCACGAGGCGCTTCACAAAAAAAAGGAAACATATAAAAAAAGCATTTAGAAAATGTTTAAAAATATATTTTAAATGAGCAAAAATATGCAATTGGGATTTAAAAGAAAAAGTGTTAAGAAAGAGAGAGAGTGAATAGGAAAGAGGGAAATCAGTGGATCCTGAGGAAGGTGGAATAGGTGGGGAGAGCAGAATAAAGAGAGAGTGGTGAAGAAGGTCATACAAAAGCCAGCTTGAACAAGTGAGTCTTTAGCTGCTTTTTGAAGGAGACCACTGATCTCAGGCTCGGGGGGAGAGATTTCCAGAGTCTGGGGGCCACAGCAGCAAATGATCTGTCACCTTTGGTCTTTAGCCTGGTGCTGCACAACCAGTAGGCTTTGATCACTGGACCCCAGGGACCTGCTGGGGGTGTAGGGACTAAGAAGATCACCAATGTAAGATGGTGCTTGTCCATGTAAGGCCCTATAGACCAGAACCAGGATCTTGAAATGAACGCTGAAGTTGACTGGCAGCCAGTGAAGCTGGAGGAGAAGCGGGGTGATGTGGGTGTGTTTGGAGGACTTGGTCAGAAGCCGAAAGCAGGCATTCTGAACCACCTGTAGACGGTTCAGGGAGGTTCTGCTCAGACACGTGAAAAGAGAGTTACAGTAGTCTTAAGCGTGAGGAGATGAAGGTGTGGATAACTGTGTGGATAACTGTCTCAAGTTCAGAGTGAGACAGAATAGGACTCAGCTTAGCAATGTTCCTGAGATGGAAGAAGGAAGAGCGAACAAGAGAACTGACATGAGAATCCAGGGTGAGAGCTGGGTCAAAGGTCACGCCAAGATTCCTGACAGAAGGTTTGGTGTGAGAAGCAAGCTGACCAAGAGAGTCTGACTTTGGGAACCAGCTTGTCTGGGGCACAGATGAGGATCTCAGTCTTATCTTCATTCAGCTGAAGAAAGCTCCCAGCCATCCAGGTTTTGATAGAGTCTAAGCAGGTGTGTAACAGCTGCAGCTTAGCCATCTCATGGGGCTAAAAGGAGATGTACAGTTGAATGTCATCTGCATAAAGATGGTAGGAGATTCCTTTGAAGGAGCTCAGGATGTGCTGAAGAGGAAGCAGATAGAGGAGGAAGAGTAGAGCCCCCAGCACAGAACCTTGTGGGACACCATGAGTAACAGAGGTGGTGGAGGACCTAAACTTGGAGACGGCCACAGAAAAGGAGCGCTCAGAGAGATAAGAGGAGAACCACTCCAGAGCAGATCCTGATAGGCCTACCCAGTCTCTCAGCCTCTCCAGTAGCAAGTGATGGTCAACAGTGTCAAAGGCTGCAGTCAGGTCCAGCAGGACCAGAACAGAACAGTCCCCTGCATCACTGTGAGTCAGAAGGTCATTAGAGACCCTAAGAAGAGCGGTTTCAGTAGAATGAGCTTTACGAAAACCTGACTGGAAGCTATCATAGATGTTAAGTTCATCAAGAGCAGCTGTGAGTTGTTTAGCCACAATCTTTTCCAAGATCTTGGAGATGAACAGAAGTTTAGAGATGGGTCTGAAGCTGCTATGGAGAGAGGGGTCGAGACTCGGTTTTTTAAGAAGCTAGTGGATTACAGCATTCTTAAAGTAAGCAGGGACCTGGCCAGAAACCAGAGAAGCATTAATTATAGAGAGCACGCTGGGACCGATGGACTGAAAAGCACTTTTAAACAAAGATGAGGGTAAGATGTCGAGGGGGCATGCAGAGGTCTTCATAGACTTACCTAGTTTGGTTAACTCAGGCAAAGAAACAGGAGCAAAGCTATCTAGGATGATGGGCCTGGTTGGAGTCGGGAGAGGCAGAGATAAGGCTGAAGGAGAGATGCTAGATCTAACCTTATTGACTGCAGAGTTAAAGGATGACAGAAGATCCTTTAGGTGCAGCAGAAGGACGTGGAGATGGGTTTTCTTCCACAAACGCTCAATTATTCTGCACTGGCACTTCAGGCTGCGAAGGCTGTCATTAAACCAGGGAGTAGGGTTCACTGCAGGAACTGATCTGGTTCTGACAGGACAGATGTTGTCCAGAATGGAGAGGCAGTGCTCATTAAACTGAGAAGTTAAGGAATCTGGGTCGTTATCAGAAGAACAGGGTGGATCAAAAGCAGCAGAAAAATTGCTAGCTGTGCTCTCATTAAGAAAACGAGAACTAACCAGACGGCGAGCAGGAGGTGGGGACGCAGAAACTGACAAGTTAAAGAAAATGCAATGGTGATGCAATGGTGAAATATAATCGTCCTCAGGAGAAACACTGTCAGCATTTAGACTCAGGGTAAAAACAAGGTCTAGAGTGTGCCCCCTGGTGTGTGTGGGGCCAGAAACATGCTGGGTAAAGCTGAAGGTGTCCATAAGGCTGGAGAAATTCATGGCAAAGAGATCGGAGGGATCATCAACATGGATGTTAAAGTCACCAACAATCACCAGTCTGGACAGCTTCACAGTGGAGGAGAGAAAGTCACTAAACTCCTGAAGGAAAGAGCTGTTTGGACCAGGTGGACGATAGACCACAGCACAGTAGAACGGGTCCTTACGCCCGACTTTAATCAGCTGCAGTTCAAAGGAAGCAAAGTGACCAGAGGTTGTAGAGCTACATGGAAGATGGTCTCTGAAAACAACAGCTAGGCCTCCACCACGACCAGAACCCCGGGGCTGGCTAAGAAAAGAATAACCACTCGGGCAGAGTTCAATCAGAGCAGAATAATCAGATGTTTGCTGCCAAACTTCAGTCAGAAACAGAAAATCCAGGTTTTTAGGGCGAATTAAATCATTGAGCAGGAAAGACTTATTGTTAACAGAGCGGGAATTTAATTAATGTTGTAGGGTGCGAGGGAGGGCAAATTACTCTTGGATGTCTCATCAGGTACACTAAGCCCAAACAACATGAACTCTGTCATCATTACACTTTAGGAAATCGAGCATCATTCAGCTCCTATTGTCCTTTAAGCAATTCATCAGGGGCTGCACAGAAGGAGCACCAGTGTTTCTAATATGTAGATAAATCTTGCAGTCATCTGCATACAGGTGAAAGGAAAGGTAATGTTTAATCCAATCACAGGTGATCCTATCAGACAGATAAGACCTAAACCACTCCAATGCTGGACCAGAGATACCCACCCACTGCTCTAACCAAGCAGCCAGGACCTCATGGTCCGTGGTATCAAAGGCCACGGTCAAATTAAACAACACCAGGACAATGGAGTCCCTGGAGTTGATCCCAAGCATGTCATTAAAAACTTTTAATAATGCAGTTTCCATATTTTGATGTGATTTAAATCCCGACTAAAACCCCTTTTTAATCCATTGGTCATTTTAAAAAGCCTTGAGCTGGTCAAAGGTCACCTTTTCCAGGACTTTTGAGAGAAAGGGAAGTCTAAATATTAGACGTTAGGCTAACTATGTATAATATTTACAATTGCAGGACTTAGTGAGGAAAAAAAGGTAGGATATTACCTGGGAGTCTGAGGGTTTCAAGCTATTGACCTGGTTTACTAGGAAAGTAGGTGTCACTGGCTCATAGTTTGTAGTTTTAAAGTACTGTTAGGTCTGATTGTTGCTCATCACCATGAGGTTCAGTCTGCTGAAGAAATAAATACACCTAAAAACAGCAACAATGTATTTTTTTCTCCAGCAGACTGAATTTCATGGTGTGTGGATGCGTGTGTCAAGATTATGGGTGTGTAAGAGAAGAATGTATGTGAAAATGAAGAGTATGCAGGCATGAAAAGAATGTATGTATGTAAAACAAAATGATTTATGGCCTAGACAGCCACTCTTATCTAACTTTAGGTTCGCGATAATTAAAACTTACTCCAGACAATATGTCCTTTTTACTCAGTTCTCAGTAAAACTCACACAACATATGTTAACATTCAGCTTTTTAGTGCAACAAGAAACTGTATTAAATGTTTTAAATCAACCATAACATGACACCTCTTATAAATGGCTAATATTTTTTTAACTGGGCTGTAAACATTTAATTAATTACCGTCGTTAACAATCCAGCCGCAACCTGATGTAGCTAGTGCTAACAACACGCTAATGCTAACACTAGCTTGCCTCCATTGTTGAGGTGGCCAACGGGAGCTGTTGCCGCAGAGTCATCGGTGCCTATCGTGGCGGCAACCCCTGAACCCGCTGGTGAACACTGACGGTTAGGTATGCTGCCAAGCTGAAGAAAGTCCTATCGGGCCTTTTTCTGTGGGACTCCAGAGGCAGCTGATAGGTACCATCAGTTCAAGCGCAATGCAGCTCGGGTAGTCCCGGAGACCACTGAGCAAGACTTCTGCACAGCTTCGAGGAGATTCTGGTCTACCATCCAGTGCCTCATTAAGGGACAGCAGTGCACTATCAACACTGTTAATAGTGGGGATGGTGTGCTGCTGACCTCTACTCGGTATGCTGTGGATTTGGTAAGTGGAGTACTTCAAAGACCTCCTCAATCCCAACGACATGTCTTCTAGTTAGGAAACAGAGTCCAGGAAGTTTGGGTTGGGCTCTCCAGTCTCTGGGGCTGAGGTCACTGAGATTGCCAAATAGCTCCTCAGTGGTAGGGTTCCGGGGATGGATGAGATCTGAGTTCCTTAAGGCTCTATACCCGTAGGAGGGTCCTGGAGGGTGTGTGGGAGTTCGCCCAACAAATCTACATGTGTTTCGTGGATTTGGAGAAGGCCATTGACCATGTCCCTCGGGGGGCCCTGTGGGGGGCACTCCGGGAGTATGGGGTCCTTTGTACATATAATGCTGTGGGTAAATATCCTGGCTTTAGTTTAGTTTTTGATCTAATCTAAGTAAAACTTGTTTTCCAGGGTGAAAAGAAGCAACCGACAGAAATTATGTGGAAGAAGATGAGAGGTGACGGCAGCATGGATCGCTCCCTCAGTGCTGGATGTATTACAGGTCAGTTCCTCTCCGCCTGTCTGGGGTTTCCTATGATTAAAAACACTTATTTGTGTGTTTGTGTTTTTTTTATCACACTCATTTTATAAGAGTCAGATGAAGCAATTTTAAACCTTTGAGAACATTAAACATTACCGTTAGCACTACTGAAATGACATTTTGTCTTAAATATGTAGTGTGACCCACTTCATAGCTGACTTTCACACGGCAGGATTTTGAGACTTATTTCTTGATATTTGGACATCTCTCCTCTAATTGGCAAACAGCATCACGACTGTACCACTAACTTGCTAACGAAATGCCAATGGTTAGCTTCTATTAGCCGAGACGTTTTCTGCTGTTTCCTGGATGTTAAACCAACAACAGCCTTCCCCTTCACAAGTCAAGATATGTGAGTCATTTAATGTTAAGTGACAGTGTGACGTAGATCTGTCTAATCCTAGAGTTTCACTATCTATATAACTCAAAAGCTAATGCAGGAGATAGGTGTAGGAGACTATTTCCATATTCAGCCTGCATGTAACACTCAGAGTCAACCCTAACCCTTTTTTCAGTTAACCACACCCTTAATTTTAGTTCCTAATAGCTTGTTTTGATTTTCTGTAAAAAGACAAAAGGTGTAACTGTTGACATCTGGCCACAGTTAGCAGGAGAAGCACGGAGACACCTTAATTCAATGAGATGCTAATTTCCTAATAGTGCCGTGGTAATTATGCATATCCTTAGATATTATTTCTACTTGTCCATATTTTCTTTCAAATGTTATTAGTTAGAATATGTGGACAAGGAAATATTATATTATTGCTATTTAGAACAGAAATTACAAAGAGGTGTTGTTGATTAAATGATAAATTGGCTTGCCATACACGCTTGTTAATACAGATAAATTGTAGAACATTACCAAATAAACCCTCGTTTATGGATAGTTCTAATATTGTTAAGTCTCTTCAGTCACTAACATAATCTGATTCAGTTGGAGCTTATTTGTCTGTGATGATCTCAGAGATTATGGCAACCAGTTGGGGGTGTCGCAGCATTTTTTCTGAAGATGGTTGAGATACATTGTTCTGAATTTCCCCCTTAGCTGCTTTGGGAATCTAAAATATCCCCATACAGGAGACTTTAAGCTTGTTCTAGGGAAACTGAGCCGTCCTGGTGGTTTTTATTGCGATTTGACTTCCGGTGTCAGCAGGAATTATTTAGTTAGCTTAAGCAGATTTCATTTTTTCGTTGTCGTCGTCATCTTCCTCCGCTTATCCGGGTCCGGGGCAGCATCCCAACTAGGGAGCTCCAGACCGTCCTCTCCCCAGCCACCTCCACCAGTTCTTCCGGCAGGACCCCAAGGCGTTCCCGGACCAGATTGGAGATGTAACCTCTCCAACGTGTCCTGGGTCGACCCGTGGGCCTCCTGCCGGCAGGACATACCCGAAACACCTCCCCAGGGAGGCGTCCAGGAGGCATCCTGACCAGATGTCCAAACCACCTCAAGTGACTCCTTTCGATCCGGAGGAGCAGCGGTTCTACTCCGAGTCCCTCCCGAATGTCCTAGCTCCTCACCCTATCTTTAAGGCTGAGACCAGCCACCCTATGGAGGGAAATCAATTCGGCCGCTTGTATTCGCGATCTCGTTCTTTCGGTCATTACCCAAAGCTCATGACCATAGGTCAGGATTGGGACATAGATCGACCGGTAAATCGAGAGCCTGGCTTTCTGGCTCAGTTCCCTCTTCACCACGATAGATCGGCTCAGCGTCTGCATCACTGCAGATGCTGAACCAATCCGCCTGTCGATCTCCCAATACCTCCTACCCTCACTCGTGAACAAGACCCCGAGATACTTAAACTCCTCCACTTGAGGTAGGCCCTCTCTCCCAACCCGGAGTTGGCAGGCCACCCTTTCCTGGTCAAGAACCACGGTGTCAGATTTGGAGGTGCTGATCCTCATCCCAGCCGCTTCACACTCGGCCACGAACCTACCCAGCAAGAGCTGAAGGTCAGAGCAGGATGAAGCTATAAGGACCACATCATTAGCAAAAAGCAGAGACAAGATTCTCCTGCCACCAAACTCGACACACTCCACACCACGGCTGCACCTAGAAATTCTGTCCATAAAGCTAATGAACAGAACCGGTGACAAAGGGCAGCCCTGGCAGGGTGCAACCCTCACCGGGAACAGGCCCGACTTACTACCGGCTATGCGGACCAAACTCACTCTCCTCTGGTAAAGGGGCTGAATGGCCTTTAACAAAAATCCACCCACCCCATACTCCTGGAGCGTCCCCCACAGGGTGCCCCTGGGGACATGGTCATAAGCCTTCTCCAAATCCACAAAAAACATGTGGATTGGTTGGGCAAGCTCCCATGCCCCTCTATCACCCTTGCAAGGGTATAGAGTTGGTCCACAGTTCCATGGCCAGGACGAAAACCACATTGCTCCTCCTCAATCTGAGATTCAACTATCGATCGGACCCTCCTCTCCAGTACCTTGGAGTAGACCTTTCCAGGGAGGCTGAGGAGTGTGATCCTCCTATAGTTGGAACACACCCTCCGATCACCCTTGTTAAAGATGGGGACCCCCACCCTGGCCTGCCACTCACAGGAACTGCCCCCGATGACCACGCAATGTTGCAGAGACGTGTCAACCACGACAGCCCTACCACATCCATAGCCTTGAGATACCCAGGACGAATCTCATTCACCCCATTCTCATTCTCATTTATCTCATTCCGCTGCTGTGTAGTTGTTTGACTACCTCAGCAACTTCTGCCCCAGAGATTGGACAGTCCAGCCCCAGGTCTCCTGGCTCTGGCTCCTCCTCGGAATGCGTGTAGGTGGGATTGAGGAGCTCCTCAAAGTATTCCTGGGATTGAGGAGCTCCTCAAAGTATTCCTTCCACCGCCCGACTATAGAGCTCCGGGAGTTGACGTCACGTTTCCCGGCATGCAACAGTTCAAATCAAAACGGCGCCATTTGGCAGGCAGAAGCTGGCAGCTGGACTATTTGTTATTGTCAGAAAACTCAATCAAACGGGAAATATGGTAGATTCCTGTTGTGCCCCAGGATGCAGAACAGACGCAGACGACATAAGGAATGAGCCATCTACAGGATTCCCCAAGATCCGGAACGCCGCAAACGTTGGATCATTGTAATAAAACGCACTAGTGACCGGATAAAATGAAACTGTGGGATCCCGAGAGTAAAGGATTTTGCTTATGCAGCGACCGCTTCATATCAGGTACTTAACCCAACGTTTCCTCAACTGTGTATGGTGTTTATTTTAAATGCTTTTATTACGATTCTTAGTGGGCTTCCTAAACTTATTTTGGCGTGACTTTTTCTGTCTTATTACTCATAGCAACACGTAAACATCACATAAAACGTTGCCTCGTGATTTCTGCGTGCTGCCGTTTACGTGTTTTATGATCACAGCAATTAACCGGCTAAGCTGTATTTAATTTTTAAGCAATGGTTGATCAATTGTCAGATCACACATAAAAAGCACTTTGGATTGCTATTATCTTTCTCACCGAGACAGATCTCAGACAGATCATGAGACGCTCCTGCCTAACATATTTATTTTATTCACAGAAAACAATCAAACTAGTGATTTCTCTTGGTGTTCAGTTTATACATTCAAACAGCACAGCACTCTATTTAAACTACTTACATGTAAATCTGTTATTTGTCCATCCATCCATCCATCCATCCATCCATTTTCATCCGCGTATCCGGAGTCGAGTTTTGGGGGCATGTAGCGTTGAGAGTCCCTGACTTCCCTCTCCTCAGCCGCCGGAGCCAGCTCCTCCGGGTAAATCCCAAGGGGTTCCCCGGCCAGGTCCAGTAAGAAGTCCGCTCCGACAGCTTCTGGCGTCGGAGCGGGCAGTAGCGTCGAGAGTCCCAGACCTCTCCCCAGCTCCTCCGGCCGGGGGAATCCCAAGGGGTTCCCCGGCCAGTTCCGGTAAGAAGTCCGCTCCGACAGCTTCTGGCGTTTTTAAAAAGTATCCCAGGGGCACGGTAAGGGTCGGAGATGTTTAGTCTATTTAATTTCTGACTATATAAAATGATTTCTTCGGTTTTAAAGTGTGAAGTAAACTCCGACGAAGTAAAATCCAAGCGGATCCCGTTCACGTTCATGGTTACATCCGTGTTTGTTTACCTTTTTTTTTCCTGCCAAAATGGCGTCTACTAACTCAGAGTCATGTGGGGTCCGGAGCTCTATAGCCCCAGTTGACGTCAGCAGCTCCCCACCCCCACTGTAAACAGTGTGAGTGAGTTGCTTCCTCCCTCTCCTGAGGCGTCGGACAGTTTTCCAGAACCTCTTTGGCGCCGATCGATAGTCTTTCTCCATAGCCTCACCAAACTCCTCCCATGCCCGAGGACAGTTGGAGACTATTTCCATATTCAGCAGTGACAGTTGCCTCGGCAATTTCCAAGCAGTATTTTAGTTAACTTACTCTTTTCACCTCACATGGACTAACACTGGCTAAATAAACTAAGAAGGTAAAAACAAAAGTTCATATGTTAAACAGTTTAACAGTAAAGGGTTGAAAACATACTGGCAAATGTAGATTAAAGGGTAAGAGACTATCCTAGATATCCTATTTCGAGAAAAAGATGTGGAGGCAGCGAGACCATCTGATTTGGTCAGCGACGTTATCAAATTTACGGTGCTATAAATTTATGACTGATCACCTTGGTGTAGTGAGATGATGTGTGAGAAGTACTTGTTCCTAGCAGATTTGATTGTTCCCTGATATAGAGATAGGGAATCGGCTAAATGCGGTCTGTCCTTTTCCACCTAGACTCAGAATGGAGACACTTTGCTACAACAGCACACCCCCACCCCCATGCTTTCCTGTATTTTCAATTCCAAAACTTGACAGGATGTCCAGACAGATACCTAAATCCTTCTGTCAGCACTGGTCCTCAGGAACATCAGCGCACCACGTTCAGCTCTGCTGACTCTGTGACGTAGGAGGCGGATTTAATGCGACATGACCGTTCAGACTGCAGTCACTTTCACAAATATAAGATATGTATCGGAATCAGTATCACATTTGAAAGTGACCTGGATCAGATTTGAAAAAATCGGATCTGTGCTGTTCAGACTGTCAAAAGAAAATTTGATATGCTACACGTGGGATGAGAATCAACTCCTCTAAATCCAGTTGGAAAGGGTAGAATGCCTCACGAGATCAAAAGGCGGATTGGTGTAGCATCTGCAGTCATGTGGGCGTTGTATCTGTCGTGGTGAAGAGAGGGCTGAGCTGGAAGGCAAAGCTCTCAATTTACTGGTCGATCTACAGTGGGTACGGAAAGGATTCAGACCCCCGTCACTTTTTCACTCTGTTATATTGCAGCCATTTGCTAAAATCAATTAAATAAATTTTTCTCTCATTAATGTACACATGGCATCCCATATTGACAGAAAACACAGATTTTTAGAAAATAATGCAGAGTTATTAAAACAGAAAAACTGAAACATCACATGGTTCTAAGTATTCAGACCCTTTGCTCGGTATTTAGTAGAAGCACCTTTTGAGCTAATACAGCCCTGAGTATTATTGGTTAAGATGTATGTATGTATCTATGTATGTATGTATGTATGTATGTATGTATGTATGTATGTATGTATGTATGTATGTATGTATGTATGTATGTATGACTGAATGGCGAACCTGTGGCTCTCTCCTCAGGGTCTAAGATGATACAAGGCAAGGCACCACCATTTCCTGGCCTTCTACAACAACACAGGAAGTCTCAGTACCCAGCAAATGGGATTGATGGAGTAAATGGGAAACCTTGTTTCCAAAAGAGCTGCAGCTACTCGGAGTATAACTTGCCACATTCAAACAAGTCAGAGGGTAAGCTGAGATTACTTTGTTTTTTATCTTAAGAGAACCGCCACACAAACGTTTTTGTTAAGTTTTTCTGAAAACGGCGTTCTCGCCACAATCTCTGATAAAGTGAACATCTTTTTTCCTGACAATATTCCCAATTTCCACATTCCAGGTATTGTGAGTCGTTTGCTGGGCCCATCGTTTGAGCCCTCATGTTTGCCAGAGTTGACCCGATATGACTGTGAGGTCAACGTCCCTCTTCAAGGCAACCTGCACCTCCTCCAGGGCTGTGACCTGCTGCGAGCCCTGGACCAGGCCACCTAGAGCCCCGGATCCAAACCCCGACATGAACCTGGACTTACAGTCAGCCCTGAGCCTCCACCTGCAGCCATGGCTACATCTCTCTCTGCCTCTTGTATCCTGGGGCCTTCTGAGGGCCCTGAGACACGGTGTCCATGACCACATCCTGCCACATCTGTCCGTTTTCTAGTTGTCAACACAAACCAACTATGCAGCTTTTAAATCAGATGCAGGTGGAGTAAAAGCTGCCCCGCACCAGCCCAGGTGACCCACATACACAATGAAAATAGGCAGCTCTGTGCTGCTAAATAAACAGATAAAATTGCATCTCTCTTACCGGTATTAAAGAGTTCTGGGGTCTCACAGGGTCTGGTGTAGATGTGATCAGACCTCCTGTTGCTTCTAGGAGAACATGCTTATCTAGCTACACATTAGCAGAGACACTGTTAGCTTTCATTTCTGTCTGTTTGATCAACTAGAACTTTTTCCAGATCTTCTTGTCTGAATTAGTCCCATCAGCAGCGTTTCTGTGAACCATAACCAGCCTGTACTCTGGTTTCAGAAAGGATTCGTTTTTATTAACCAAATACTCAGACTGTCTATTTTAGGTCTTTAACCTTAATACAAGATTCTTCACCGCATGGAGCAAATACTGTAGTGTAAGTAGTGGAGCATACGTTAAACATGAGGGTATGGGTGGTTTATTTCTCATATCTTTACTAAATCTTATTTGAACAAGCGGCCGTGAGCTGCTTGTGTGGTAACAGGGTATATTTTGTCCTTTTGTGCCGTTTATATCCAGCTTGCACAAAAGACATGGACTTGCACACTCGTTAGGCGGAAGACAAAAGGCAGTGGTGAGCACTGGTGACCAGGGGAGAAGACACAAATACTTGTTTTAACAAATGTACTCTTGGTAAGGTCTCTGCCCTTCCAGGTGGTCATTAGCTTCCATCTCAGGACTGACTGAAGCCATATTTATAATTAAAAAACTGAAGAAAGTTGGTTTTTCCAGCTTTGAAATGTTACAGAAACAAACCTGTTTGATCAGATCCCAGCAAAAGCCAAAGAGATAAACTTTACAGTGAGGGAGCATGGCTGCAGCATTTCAGAAATGCTAAAGTAAAAACAAATAAACCCACATCTGATAATTGTACAAGACTGGACTTTAGGTGGAATGAGGGGGAATGGTTTGCAGCACAGGCGGAAGTAAAGGAAATGGTTTCTGACGTTTGGGTCAATCAGGATGATGGTGGGGGGCTAGAAGGGAGGACTTTAGGAGGGATCAAAAAGGGTTTGGATTGTTTGGAAGGACATCAGGAGGAGCTTCGAGGCGTTTTGGTTCATCGGTAGAAAGCTTTAATGGTCCGGATAAGTGAGAGAATGTTATGAATGCAGTACAGCCAAAAAAAAGCAAATGACGTTGACCCCGTAGAGCACCAATGTCACCCCCACACCGCTCTGTGCTCACCACTGCACTCACCAGAGTGAGATCAGAAAGCAGCAGCTCCTGGATTACTCAGACTTTGTACGTAGCATCAGCTACGGCGTCGCTGCCTCGGCTGGCCAAACGCAGACTTTATGGATTTTTCTTACAAGGGAAAGGCCAGTTTTTATTAATCTCACAGCGGAGAGGCTGCAGATGCAGAGAGCTTTGTTACAGATCATTCTCAGCTTCTATAGGATGACAAGCCTTTCACCCAGAGGATGTCAGTATGCCTTCAGAGAAACTCTTCTCATCAGACTTTCTTATTTTTCTGAGGCTCGCTCTATATTTTGAAGTAAATGTCTTTGTGTGGTGACCACTTTTAAACTATAAAGCTTTGTACACACACACACACATTATGTATTTAAAAGCTAGCTAATGTTGAACATAGTGTTGTTAGTGTATATTGTGTCCTGGTACTCTCTCCTCTTCCTCCCTGTCGACGCTGATGGATCAGAACCTCTCTGTGGCGTTTCCTCTGTACCTCTTCTCTCGTGGCTTTTGTGATTTATTTTTTTCCGATGTTGTTTTTTTATCCTAAAACATTGACTGGGTCTGTTGGCTGGCCAGTACTGCTGTCGTTCTCACTTCACAACAAAAGTAAAAAGTCAGATGAGAGAAGCATCAGGTTTCACTTTTCAGATATGTAGCATTTTGAATATTGTAAGAAAGGTGAAGTTGCTACATAATTGCATAGTTTTCAAGTTGCATTATATCATAGCAATGGTGCCTCATGCAAGTGTGACTTTAGAGCTTTTATTACATGTCTTGGGTCCACTAATACTGTTTATCTAGATTTATCTGAACCCTCACGATGTGCCTTATCAGGACGACACGCGCAGCTCACCCTTCAAGTGCACAGTTTGTTCCTTCTTAAAACAACTATTTAAGAAAATCACCCAATAATATTATAAGAGGAAAAAATATATAAGAAATAAAACAACCTTTTGGTTTGTAGCTTTGAGTAAAATTTGCACAATAAAGAAAAAAAGTAGAAAGTTTAAAGGAACACTTTGGCTCTGACTGAAGTGGGTTTCTATGGAAACATGTAATATTTTAGCTTTTAGTCATTCTCGCACAAACTTTATTAGACTTCTTTTGACATTGTAGCGTTAGATATGGCCAGACATCACTACAGATGGCTGCAAAAACATTTATACCTCCTCATTTTTTAATATACTTATTAAGAAGAGAACTGTAATCCACTTTAGGACAAGCCCCAGCCTGATGGGCTGTTAGTGATTTCTGATCAGACGATGCTCTATTTCTCCAAACAGAAGCCATTCCAAAGGCTCCCTGGAGCAGGTAGGATTCTGTTTCAACCTTCCCACAGAAATCCATTCCAGAAGAGGTGAACTGTTCCTTTAAATGTCAAAGTTGGGACTGATTTATGATCATAATCTCTGATATGTTAGCCCCGACTAGGTAAAAGTGCAGGATCACATTAAACGTAGGAAATCTTCTGATGAGATAAGTCGAACTTTGCAAGAAAGTTTTTATGGAAACGGATTCTCAAGCTCATCGGAGAACCAGGACTCAGTCTGGTGATGAAGCTGCTTGTGGGATTGCAGGATCAGCAGAAAACTGCGCAACTGCTCGGAGAAATTTGAGCTTTGAATGATCATGTGAGACGTTTCTGTCACAAACCAGGAAGGTGTTCAGACTGCAACCAGGACAAGTTTGATGACATCATCAAACTGGTCTAATTTCGATTAGCCTGAGCTAATCAGTTGGTTGTGAAATGTAAAAAAGTCAGCATTACTCTGTGTTTACTGCACATTTTGTACTGTAAGATTCTATAAGCTATGTTAATATAACGTTTTCTTTTACATTAATAAAACTAACAGTTTGTCCCATTAAAAACGAGTTAATACGGTTTAGTTAGTAAAAAGGGCATTTTAATCTAGGTGTATATGAGGAACTAAATTAATTTAATGCCTAAATTAACCATTTTTAGTTGTTGTTTCATTTTGTAATCAGGTCTTGAATTACAGCAGATATGTTTGTTATAAAGCAGATAGATAGATAGATAGATAGATAGATAGATAGATAGATAGATAGATAGATAGATAGATAGATAGATAGATAGATAGATAGATAGATAGATAGATAGATAGATAGATAGATAGATAGATATGGTAGGAAGACCCCTTATTGATCCATGTAACCTCTTGCTCTAGTGCGCATGTGTGTTGCAGAACGATATCAACAATCATGTTTTTTATGCTGTTGGTTGTACAAACTGCTTTGATAACAACAAATCGTGCAAGTTCTACAGACTTCCATCGACTTGCGCTCCTTTAAAGGCAAACAAAAGATGTCTTTGGTTGCAAACTATGAGCAGATCATTAAAAATGCTCAAATCTGGTGCAATCACTTCACATCAGTTATATTATAATAATAATAATTAATCGCTCAAGCTTATAAGTTGATGTGCATTGGTTCACTGTGACTCATTTGTGTTGCTAAACCCATTGAAACAAATACTACAAGCTAGGATTACTAGTCCACAGACATCATATAAGTAGACACGGCGTGGCCTGGTGCTGTCTCCATTCGCCCCTAGTACATGTATTTCTACTGAGGAAGGTGTTTACCAGAATAAAAAACACATTTATTATGCTTTTTCACACAATCAGAGGTGTGGTATGGCATAATAGTTTAAATATAGATACAAATATATACAATAAATGAAAAATATGTTAAATATAAAATAGGTAGGCTAGAAAAGTTGCAGTTACTGCAGCTGTAGGCTGCAAAAGGATGGGCATTGTTGCTCACTCTGTGTTGACTCCAGCTGGGTTTAGAGAGTGAAGAACCCATCCAGTTTGGTGGCAACACTGTTATGCTCTCCAGCACCCAAAGGCACGTCTACGTATTGACGTCGATGTACTAGCCAACCTGTGGCTAATTACCACAACAACAACAACAGTGACTAACGGATGTTATATAGCTTTGGAGTTCATGCTAATGTTATTTTATAACAAAAACAGAATACAGTTGTTTTTCTTGTTTACAATGACGCAGACTTTCGTCTTCTTCTCTTGTCTTTGACAAGGCAGCACCTCAATTTTCAATATTATATTCATGCTATAGTAAGTGTTGTACGCGGTTGTCTGTTACACAGCTGGAGGCATCCTGGTTGTTGTAGGATTTTAGGCTAGAGGCTTGGCGTGCCAAGAAGAGTTGATGTTCGGATACACAAGTTTGGGCCATTCTCTCTCGCCGTTGATCCAGTCATCGTTAAGACGTGTCCCAATGTCACTTTGGTGGCGTAACTAGTTTTATTGCTAGGGGATAAACTGTTATGTTACACTAACAACATCACTGGCCAACAACGCAACCACTAGATAAGCGCCAAAAACAATGGAAACCAGAGGAAGCCCGACTTTGTTTCTTCATGCTGGCTGCACGCATCTGCTTTGTTTACAAATAAATAAGGGGTCTATAGATAGCTAGATGTCCATATACATAGATATACATCTATGGCAATTTAATCATTGGTTAAAATAAACAATGTCCCACATTTTAAAGTTAAAATCCAATGAATCTGCTTCTATTCATCATGGTTCTTTTAGTATTTTATCCTTTTAGAATTATCGAATTAAAGGTTTCCAGGGAAGCACCTTAATAGAGTTTTATGAAATTGTTGAAAATAATTAAAAGTGCAATATGGGCATGGGCAGTTGCTAATTATGGAGACCAAAGATGGAAAAGCGTGGTGATGCCAGAACAGCTTCTAAGATGGGTTTATGGTTTATTTAGCAGCTGTTTCATAAAAATGAGCAGTTTAATTACGTACGTGTAGAGTTGGCTAAACGGAAGTAGAGTCAGAGGTAGTTCTACCAAGAGGAGTCCTGTCTTTACGAACCAATTCCTTTAACTGCATCTGTTAAAAACTAAAAGCCTCTAAATGATGTATTAACATTTCATCAAAAACTTTAATAACAAATTATTTGGTTTTTTTCCTCTTTCCTTACATGGAAAAACAATGAAAGTTAGAGTCAGCTGTTGTGAAATGTGAAAATCTAACATGGGTGGGGCTTTGGTGGTCTATCGCCTGTGCTACTCAACATTCTGTGCTCCTTGAAGGGTTTTCCCAAAAAGCTAAAGTGACAAATGATTTAGGAGTAAACCCACTCTCGCTGCGCTTCCTATTTTGTGTTAGTATTGTTTGTTTGTTTGTGTGTTTTTTCTGTAAAAACAGGGTTTTGTTATTCCTTTTGGGATCCACGTTCAGTTACTTGTATTCTGTTGTTGTCATAGAATATTAGCTACTTCAGATTTTTATGATATGCTGAAATTCATATTGATCATATTATTATTAATACCTTATTGTTATCATTGTTATTGCTATATGGGGACTTGAACCCAATTAGAAGTTTGTGTTTCTGCACTGATATATTATTAAAGCATACTGGTCTTACTTTCCTTGTTGTCCCAGAGTATTTATTCATTTCTACAGCCAGACCCAGACACTCACCTAAAGGATTATTAGGAACACCTGTTCAACTTCTCCCTAATGTAATTATCCAATCAACCAATCACATGGCAGCTGCTTCAGTGCATTTAGGGGTGTGGTCCTGGTCAAGACAATCTCCTGAACTCCAAACTGAATGTCAGAATGAGAAAGAAAGGTGATTTAAGCTATTCTGAGTGTGGCATGGCTGTTGGTGCCAGACGGGTCAGTCTGAGTATTTCACAATCTGCTCAGTTACTGGGATTTTCACCCACAACCATGTCTAGGGTTTCCAAAGAATGGTGTGAAAAGGGAAAAACATCCAGTATGCAGTAGTCCTATGGGCGAAAATCCCTTGTTGATGCTAGATGTCAGAGGAGACTGGGCCGACTGATTCAAGCTGATAGAAGAGCAACTTTGACTGAAATAACCACTCGTTACGACCGAGGAACACAGCAATGCATTTGTGAAGCCACAACACGCACATGCTTGAGGCGGATGGGCTACAACAGCAGAAGATGCCACCGGGTACCACTCATCTCCACTACAAATAGGAGAAAGAGGCTACAATTTGCACAAGCTCACCAAAATTGGACAGTTGCAGGCTGGAAAAATGTTGCCTGGTCTGATGAGTCTCGATTTCTGTTGAGACATTCAAATGGTAGAGTCAGAATTTGGCGTAAACAGAATGAGAACATGGATCCATCATGCCTTGTTACCACTGTGCAGGCTGCTGGTGGTGTAATGGTGCAGGATGTTTTCTTGGCACACTTTACACAATCAAACGTGTCTAAATGATTCATGATACAAATACTGGCCGTCTTACCTAAATATTTAGATTTAGAAAAAAGTTCACTTTAAAAGCTGGATTGAAAACTTAATTTAAAATATTTTATAAACTTCCAAATAAATGATGGCTGTGAGGAAATAATTTAGATTATCTGTATGATGCAAAGTTGTATAACGACCGTGTTTTGTATACTTTATTACCTCCAGTGCAATCATTCCAGACAAAATAAAGGCTCCACCCATCATTTCTGATTTATGGATAGTCGTGCTGCGGAAACAGTCGTCCTGCAAGCTTCTATGGGGGAATAATGGGGTCTCCAGGCCAACATGGAAATTTAGTTCCTCATTTGATTCCTCACAGTACAAATTAGCAAAATACAGACTTCTGATCAAATTTAGTGTTGGGTTTTTCTTATCCTTTTTTCGTACATAGTTGCTTTTTCAATTACAGTATGTTTAATTTTTGTTGTCATTCTCCAAGTGAAATCATTCCTTCTAAATTCATTGTATAATAACCACATTCTGATGTAAAAACAAATACAGGTTTATACATTTTTTAGGTTTGTGATTCTAACGTTGCCCTAGTTTTTCTCCACTATATTATGTAGCGTTAATGATTGGTTACATCTGTAACAAATGACCAATTCCATATATATATATGAAAAATCAATCTGACTGATCTTTGAATTTTTAATCAGAAGATTATAGTTTATTTTAATTATCAGGGAACATAAAAACACTTCGTATTAATTCAGACAGTCAAGTTTAGTTTATAACAATGAATTTATTTATATTATTTTCCTAAGCTAATGATTATACAAGACAAGGTATGAATGATGGAATGTAATGTATGTCGTGGATGGAATGGATATGAATTGATTTATTGCGATAGGTGAAATGATGGAATGGAAGCTAGATGTTTTAGAAAAACCTTTCTTAAGTAACTGAGAGTTTGTGGAGTCTGGGTTGTAAAATCAATTTGGCTGTATGTTTGGTAAACTAGAGATTTGTTTATAAAACCATCCAAAGCTATTTGTGTCGAGTCTACCCTTGTGTGGAGATCCCCTTCAGATCCAGGGGGTTGAGCTGGACACTGCTGACAGCGCGGACCTCTGTTACCGGAACCCGTAGATTAGCTGGGATAAGACCCGTCTAGTCATGAGATATCTCCAGGTGACGACAGGAAGTTGGAATGCTTGTGTGGCAGTGTGAGCGTCCTGTCACTGTATTCTGATTGATCATGCGCCCTGGCTGCTTGGCCAAGAGGATGTCCCTTTGGCTGACTGGTTAGTGCATGTGACTCTCACTTGGGAGTCTGTGGATCGAATCCCTCCTGGGCCCTCATTTCTCCACCTTGCCACTTTTTTTGTGTCTGAGGCTGTTCGGTGGCTTCTAGAACAGCCATTACGCCTGTAATCACTTGCAGCGTTGCAGAGAGGCTTTGACTTGATATCAAAAGAGAACATGGTTTCAAAATGCTTTTTTTCACCGATTTGGCCAGATCGGGAGTCAGCTGGAACCTGAATTGGTTTTGGAAACAATTCTGTTTTATCACCTTCCTTATTTATAAATTTGGCAAATCAGAATTTGACATGTTTGAGGGTATTGCCAAATATAAAAATTAAAAAAAAAGATCATTGCAGGCAAGATATTAATTTTAAACACAGCATTGATTAAAGCACATATTATTCAAACATTTGATTTAAAGGCCCAGTGTGTGATATTTTTACCTGTTCACTATCAAATCCTGTTTCCAGTTCACAAGCTTCTTCTTTTTCACTAATTTTTCTCACCAACATCAATTCTAAATACTCCTCTCAACTTGAAATTATATATTTTTATATACATAAACTGTGGCAGATGCTCCATGGTCATCCACCATCTTAAAATACAGTAGCTGTTTAGGGACATACGAGCTTCATGTTACCCATTTGGACTATGGCTGTAACCTGAAAGAACCAGCAGAGGGCAGCAGTGCACCTGGAAGCATGAAGTCTGCTAATTCAACTAAGAAATAGAAAAGAATAGTCACACCGTTGCTGCACTTGTTAGTTTGAATAATAAACATTTAAATCAAAAGACAAATTTTTTCAGTTCGTCATCATGTCCAACACAGCCTCCGATTCGTGTCTCTGACTCCGAAACACACCTCAAGTTGTCCATTCTTCTTTTCCTACTACCAGAACTCCCAGTCCGGTTATGAATTTTTTTATTAGCTCTTACGTATAAAATCAATGTTTTATGAAAGGCATACATCCACCAGAAAATGTTTGATATGGCACATTATGTACAGCTGAAATAGAAGCACACATTTGGTTCCCTTTAGATGTAGGTACAGTTGTAAACATCAAGTTGTCTCTCCTCGTCGCCCACAGCATTTTGTCACACCCTGTCCTGTCTCCCCATTCTGTTCAGTCATGCTGTTAATTGCTCCCACCTGCCTCTCATTTTCCAATCACCCAAGCTCCCAGCCCTCATGTATTTAAACCCTCTCAGTTCTGTGTGTTTTGTCGGTTCATTGTTTCCATGTCCTGCGTGCAGTTACTATTAAAAGACCTTTTGCATGTCCAGATTGCCTGCCTGCCTGCCTGCTTCCTCCCCGGCATTTGGATCCTCACAAACCGCTCAACTCACCTGCACCGTGACAGAATGAACCGAATAGGGATGAGCGAGTACACCACTATCTGTATCTGTATCTGTTCAACCAACTAAATTATCTGTATCTGTATCTGTATTCGGAAAGGGGGTGGCATAACCCGGAAGTGGGCGTGGTTTACATCAATATAATATTTTAAGTATGAAATTGATATGGAATGATCAGAAGTTGATATGTGTATTGTTTATTTGAAAACTATTTACAGAGCAGCCTCATATATATATATATATATATATATATATATATATATATATATATATATATATGTATATGTATAAATATGTATGTATATGTATGTATATGTATAAATATTTATGTATATGTATATATGTATGTATGTATGTATTTATATGTATATAAGTATGTATATGCATATATATATGTATATATATATATGTATATGAATGTATGTATATATGTATATATGTATGTATGTATGTATATATATGTATATATACATATATATGTATAAATATATACATATATATGTATAAATATTTACATATATATGTATAAATATATACATATATATGTATATATATACATATATATGTATAAATATATACATATATGTATAAATATATGTATGTATATAAAGATCGATGCAGCACTGTGTGTATGTATATATATATATATATATATATATATATATATATATATATATATATATATATACACCTGCACCCGCTCTTATGGGGCCTTCTGACGCTTTTCGATCAATTCCACTTTTTCCTAAGCCACAAGCTGCTCATTCAGTAGCCAGTGAAAATCTGTTGTCCATTATGGAAAAACAAAATGAATTGACTTGTATGTTGGTCCATCAGCAGAGTCTTTCTTCACTGCCCAAAAGGGAGATTCAAACCTTTGATGGTGATCCTTTATTTTCAGGCCTTTATGCGCTCGTTTGAACAGGTCATAGAAGCCAAGACTGGCGATGCTGGCGACTGCCTACATTATCTTGCACAGTACACCAAAGGGCAGCCCAATGAACTTGTTAAAAGCTGTCAACATATGTCTGAGAGTGCTGGATATGTAAAGGCAAAGACTCTGCTGTATGAGCACTTTGGGAATGGACATGAGATTGCATCCGCTTATTTGAACAAAGTTCACTCATGGCCACTGATTAGATCAGAAGATGGAAAAGCTCTTCAGGTATATTGTTTGTTCTTACGTGGATGCTGCAATGCAATGGAAGAGATTAGTGATCTCTCTGAATTAAATACACCCGCCAATATGCTTGCTGTGATTAGAAGACTGCCATATAAGTTAAAAGACAAATGGCGAACAGTAGCATGTGACATTCAGGAGAGGCAACATTGCAGAGCCGCATTCACTGACATTGTTTCCTTCCTTGAGCGTCAAGTCAAAATTGCAATAGATCCTGTCTTTGGAAATTTATGTGACGTTCCAGCGACACATCTTTCAGCCAAGGGCAACAATGGAGGGAAACGTTCTCCATACCTAAGAGCTAAAGTAAGTAGCTTCGCTACAACAGTCTCTGATGTCGAGAGACAGAATCAGACATGGACTCAAGATCGAAGCAGCACTGTGAAGGTTTGTTTTTTCTGCAAAGGCGGACACACTCTGGAGTCATGTGCTCTGCTTGATAAGAAACCTCAAAATGAGAAGATTTCTTTTCTTAAAAAGAACAGCATCTGTTTCGGCTGTTTGTGTACTGGGCACCTAAGCAAAGAATGCAGAAAACGCCTTTCATGTAAAAGCTGTGGTCTTAAACATGCAAGTATACTCCATATCCGCCATAAAGAGAAGAGTGAAGTTAAACCTGGTAATGAGGCAGATAACATTCCAGTTACAATCCAGACTAGTAGCCTTAATGGAGCTGGTGAACAAGGCTGTAAGCTTGCCATTGTGCCAGTTAAAGTAAAATCCAAGAGAGGTCAAAGAATAGTGGAAACGTATGCCTTTCTGGACCAAGGGAGTTCAGCGTCCTTTTGCACAGTGGGTCTTATGGGTAAGCTGAATATTGCCGGGAGGAGGACAAAGATTCTCCTGCGCACCATGGGACAAGAGAAAGTGGTGGACAGTTTCATTGTACCTGAACTTGAAGTTGCTGGATTGGACAGTGACATGTAGTGTGATATGCCTAACCTCTTCACTCAGCATATAATGCCTGTAGATCTTGTTAAAATCCCAAATCAACAGGACCTGGATGACTGGCCACATTTGAAGCATGTTCATTTGCCAGAAATTAAGGCCAATGTGGAGCTTTTGATTGGCATGAATATGCCCAGAGCTCTAGAACCTTTGGGGGTCATCTGGAGTGTAGGTGAAGGACCTTTTGCCATTAGGACTGTGCTGGGCTGGACAGTGAATGGGCTACTTAATCGAGAATGCTGTGTAAGGCCAGGATGTCTGGCAACAGTTACTGCCAACAGAGTTTCTGCTGTCACACTGGACAAGCTATGGAAACAGCAGTTTAAGATGGACTTTCCTGAGAGCAGCAATGATGAACAGATGGGGCTGTAAAAGGAAGACATGAAGTTCATGGAATTGGCCAGCAAGACAGTGACCTTGAGGGATGGGCCCTGCCACTGAAAGACCGAGACATAAGAATGCCTGACAACCGTGCAATTGCTGAGCAACGAGCCTTAGGTTTGAAGAAAAGGCTCATCAGAGATAAAGACTTTCACAAAGACTACACTGCCTTCATGACAGAACTCATATCTAGAGGATATGCAAAGAGAGTGTCAGTCGCAGAATTGGAGCGCAGCGATGGGAAGCTTTGGTATATCCCTCACCATGGGGTTTACCATCCTACCAAGGGGAAGACGCGGGTTGTCTTTGACTGTGCAGCATCATTCCAGGGTGTCTCTCTTAATGCGCAGCTCCTGAGTGGTCCTGACTTAACGAACGGTTTGGTTGGCGTACTGACGAGGTTCAGAAAAGAGCCAATTGTTTTGATGTCTGACATCGAGGCTATGTTTCACGAGGTGCATGTGCCAGAAGAAGATACTGACCTTTTGATGTTTCTTTGGTGGCCTGGTGGTGACTTCAATCAGAGCATGCAAGAGTACAGAATGGGTGTTCATTTGTTTGGGGTAACGTCTTCTCCAAGCTGTGCTAACTATGCCCTGCGGAGATGCGCAGAGGACAACAAAGCATACGTCAGCCAGCAGGTGACTGACACTATTCTGTATAGTTTTTATGTGGATGACTGCGTTGCTTCAATATGCTCTGAAGAAGAAGCCATCAATCTTTACTCAGGCCTTAGAGACATTTGCGCCAAGGGTGGTTTCCACTTAACAAAGTGGATCAGCAATACTCGCAGCGTTCTGGCAGTTATACCTGAGGAGGAAAGAGCAAATGAAGTTAAGGACCTAGACCTGGGTTGTGACCTTTTACCTGTTGAGGGGGCATTGGGAGTGAGGTGGCAGTCAGATGCATTTAAGTTCTGCATATCCATCCCAAACAGACCATTGACTCGGAGAGGGATCCTATCCATAGTAAGCTCCTTCTATGACCCTCTGGGGTTCCTTGCTCCTGTTATCTTCACAGCCAAGAGGATACTTCAAGATCTGTGCCAGAGCGGGATGGGATGGGATGATGCTATACCATCAGCTGCTGAAGAGTGGAAAAGCTGGGTAGAAGAATTGCATCTGTTGAACAATGTCAGCATCGGACGATGTTTAAAACCTCTTGATTTTGGAGAGACGACCACTGCTCAGTTGCACCACTTTGCAGATGCGAGTGAGAAGGGCTATGGGGCTGTTACCTACTTGTTGCTGCACAACAGTTGCTCACAGATGCACAGTTCCTTCATAATGGGAAAATCCAGGGTGGCACCTTTAAAATCAGTCACCATCCCTCGCATGGAATTGACGGCAGCAGTGGTAGCAGTTCGCGTGGATAGAACGTGGAAGAGGGAGTTGAGACTACCTCTCCTAAACTCTGTCTTTTGGACAGACAGCACTGCAGTGTTGAAATATATAAATAATGAGTCTTCCAGGTTCAATGTTTTTCTGGCAAACAGAGTGTCAGAAATCCTCAAGGCTTCTAGTGCCTCCCAATGGAGGTATGTGAACACCACGCATAACCCTGCAGACCTTGCCTCCAGGGGTATGAAGGCTGAGACCTTTTTACGTGACACTGAATGGATATGTGGCCCTGCATTTCTTACACAGCCAGAGAACAATTGGCCTGTTAACCCAGAAAAGTTGCAAGAACTTCCACGTGAAGATCTTGAAGTTAAGGTGTCTGCTGCCATCAACGTCTCACAAGTGCACAATGATGATCATCCTCTGACCCCTTTAATCCACCGTGCCTCATCCTGGACTCGTCTCATCAGGGTTATGGGTTGGATTTTGAGGTTCAAGATATTGTTATTGCATCGCAGGAAGATACGTTTCCAGTCTGCATTTGATCAAATTCAGTCTGAAGATGCTCAACATAAGGTTGATTTCCGGCATGGCTTTCTTTCATTGGGAGAGATTGAGGATGCTGAGATGCAAATAATTAAGTTCTGTCAGAGAAAGAGTTACGCTGAAGAAATTTCTTGTCTCCAAAGGGGAGAATCTGTGAAACGAAGCAGTCACATATATAAGTTGAATCCTGTTTTGGAAGATGGTGTGCTGCGGGCTGGCGGACGTCTCAGTCAGGCTGTCATGCCAGAAGACTCCAAGCATCCTGTCATAATCGCTAAAGAGCTTCACATTTCTGATCTCATTCTACAGCATGTTCATAAAGAGGTGGGTCATGGTGGAAGGAACCACATACTCTCAAAGCTGCATCAAAAATATTGGATTCCTGGTGCTGGTACTCTGATTCGAAGCATCATGCCGAGGTGTGTGACCTGCAGAAGGTTTCATGGAGCTGCAGGACAGCAGCGGATGGCTGAGTTGCCCGAAAGCAGAGTGACCCCTGAGAAACCCCCATTTAACTTTGTTGGAGTGGACTATTTTGGTCCATTTGAAG